TTGCTTTGCGAACCTCCTTTGGAACACCCCGAACGCCCGATCAAGATGGCATCGGTGGGATGTATGACCACCGAGTTGGAGAACTCCCACGAGCATATCCTTTCCCAACTTACCCAGGCTGCGTCGGCCGTGGATTTTGGGTGCAGCTTGAAGGTCATTACCATTGTTGTGGATCAACTTCAAGAATCCTTGACCTCGAACAAGTCCGTTCACCCCAAGCTGCTCCCTATGTCGTACCACCTTCAGCAGGGCCACACCTTTGCCCTGTACCTCCTTGGGTTGGTGAACCTGTACCAGGAGTACAACGAGAAGTACGACATTGGCCATGCGGAAAGGGTGACGTCGGAAAACACTCCGATGTGGATCCAGAGGTGCGTCTGGGAAGTTATTGGGAATGTGATAAAGAACGAAGCCAAGGAGCATTACTCCATGGAGGAGTATCGGGCGTCGACAAAAGCTGCCCGCTCCAAGGCGGCAGCCCGACCTCCGGATGGTCGGAGTCGTCCTCCTCAGGTGGTTTGGTGGTCCTGAGCAAGTCGTACGAGGACCTGGGATGGATGGGGCGGAGTATCCTCAACGAGCTTCGGGGAAAGCCATCGGAGCCCCGGGAAATCACGGGGGCCGACTATTGGAACCTCCACATTGTGCCGGGGGAGCCGGTTGGAACTCCGGAGCCTCCATCGGTTCCACCGTTGGCGATTCCTACGCCTCCGCCGATCCCGGTAGCTGTAGCTACTCACGCAGTGAAGGCTTGGCCTCCCCTCTGGCCGTCTGATGAGACTTTGCTTGTGCGCGGACACCTATCCGGGTGGGCGCAGCTGCAAGCCAGGGTGAGCGGAGGACCTTTCGCTCGGGGCTGCTCCACTGGCTGACCACCATGGAGTGCCCTGGGCCGGTCTTGCCTTGATTGTTCTTGCTGTTAAGTCCCCACTGGCTGACCACCATGGGGCATACGCACGTCTTTCCTCTCCTTTGGGGAGTCTGACCTGTAACATCCCTTTGCCACTGCGGGTCTGTTATCTGTCCTTGACGATGGGTACGTGATCCTGACCATCGAGTGATGACCTCGGTTCGATTCGAATGATGTCGCACCAGTAGCTACATGATGGTGGTTTTGAGAATCTGGCAGTGTCGCAATTTGCGATTCCCCGCATGCTCTGTGCTGTATGATTGCACCGGGACTTCAACGACGACTTCGAGTACTGAGTGCGTGGGGTTACCTAGTAGTTCAGCGCCTTTGCTTGCTTTGTTTCTTCTGTTTCTTTGGTTCTTGGGTGGTTGCGTGGTGTGTTTGGTGGTTTGAGCACGCTGACTTCGTTTCACCTGTTATGTCGAGCCCAACAAGACCGGCCTACTGCGCTACTGATGTAGTAAAGAGGCGTCAGTCCAAAAAAAAAGATATTGGGGCACCGTGTCAGAATTGCAAGCCCAGGGACTCACCCTGGAGCCTCTGCCCAATGCAGTGTACTGCGTGCCCTCTATCAAGCGGCGCTGGCAAATGACGGTGCCGCCAAGTATTGGTGACGCCAAACTGTTGGCACCACCAAAAAGAGGGCCTGCACCGCAGGTTGATGCTCCCTTTGAACACAAGGCGGGCATTGAGCAGGCCCCGCAAGGCCTGCGTCCAGTTCCAGTAAGAGCTGGCAACGTTCTCCAAGAGAAGGCAATTGACTTGGACTCCCCGGGAAACAGCCCTGTGCCCGCAGAAAGTACAAGTCCGTGGGTGCCAAGCAACCCCAACCTGTCACCCCTTCCGCGCATGGGCGGCGTTGTGGCGCAAGCCTGCCCCAAAGACAGCGCGCGGCTCGGGACGTGTGGCAGCCCGCCGCCGCCCCCTCACAGGGAAATAGCGGCCCCATTGGAGAGGAGGCTGGGGTTGCAATTTCTCCCCCCAGCGTCAAACCTTAAGCTGCCGTACAGGGACCCCCGTGTCCATTCCAGTGCAGCGTAAGACCCTGCTCCAACCGCAGGCGGAGGACATGATACCCCACTGCTCCGAGCATGCAGAGTGACCCGTCTCCCTGCTCCGCGCACAAGAACCCCACCTCCGAGTGTTCCGCCGTCCTCCAAGCCCCAAGCCAGGGATGCATCACGAACGATTTAGCACACCTCCGGGCCGCATGCGAAGGGAGCAAGCGACCCTCTGGCGCCGCCTCCCCAGTCGAAGGCAACCACGCCAGGAGCCGCATGCAATGGAGGATGCTGAGCCACAAGTAAGGGACTGGCGCTTTGCGAAACTGCACACCACTGTCTTGCGAGAAGTGGACGTTTGCATTCCTTTTCGATTGCCCGCTTTTGAAGATGACCACTGGAAACGGCTGGTGGCACCTCCAACCATGCGGGGCCCAATCATGCCCGCCGAGAATGGTACGACGCTGCTACGGCGCACTGGGCCGCTTGCAAAGGGCTTGCCCAATCGAGACATCCCACTGAGCAAAGTCTTAACAGCTTTTGGAAAAAGATGTATTGCCATCGATACCCAAAGAGCCAGAGCCCTCTGCTCTCAAAGTGATAACTTCCTTTCCTTACGAGCATAAGGGGCTTCCGCTCGCACGCTGTGGCATTCTGCCAAAGCGCTGAAGCGGCAGCAGGCAAGTAAGCCCCACTCGAACTCTTGGACACTTTCCAAGATCTCCCTGTCTAGTGCTGGTGGATGCAAGTTGAATTCGTGTTTTTGACAACGAACTCTTGGGTACCAGTTGGACCCAGGATGCCTTATGGTGGGAACTTGCATGAGTTTAAGTAAATGTCAGAGATCGGTTGGTGTCTCGTTTGTTTCGTTTTGGTGGCGAGTACGCACCAATGGAATGTGGCCAGGGCATCCCCTTAGCGTTGAAGTGCCGAGCAGTGCTTGGACTTCGGATCTTTGACATGAACCCTCAGCAAAATGCGGGGGGTGGAAGATCGTGGCTGATCGTTGATGGTTTTGTCATATTTTGGATCAGCTTGTATAGATTTGTTTTGCTTCGGAGTGATTGGGAATCGTTTTGACCCCATCCTCGATGTTTTTGCTTCGATGATTTCCCTGGGAAATCATACGAGTATGTTTTTGCCCAATACGCTGCTTTGAGTGAGTGTGCAGTGAGTAGGAACTGTGTTCTGAAGCTCGTTTAAGCTCACAACTGAATTCGTTTAGTTTGCGCACTTCGTGACTTTTGGCTCAAGGCCTGCGAGTGAAAAAGAGTGTGTCTGCACTTGGTTTAGATAGGTTGGGTTCGTGCTTTCAAGGGAAAAGGTACCAGAGGGACCTTCGGCTTTTTACGATCCAGATTTTTCAAAGTTTGTCTACTTGATGTAAAGTTGTGCTGTCAGGCCGTGCGAGTTCTGGGTGCACATGCAAGGATTTGGGAGGTGGCCGCAGTTCGGCAAGTCTCCAGTTGGAACGCGCTGTTTAGATTAGCGCAAGTTTTCTTTCCACCAAGACATGTTTTCGAATCGAAATTTGTCCGCGATCATTGCCGCTTTTGTGTTGGGAGATTCAGGGGGATAAGCCCTCCGCCTTAAAGCGCGAAACCGGCGAACTCGAACCTGGGAAACAGTCGGGGTTATCTGGAGGAATCGTGGCAATGTGCGGGTGAGGCCCGGGCAATTGCCAAGCTTCTGTCGAATCCCCTGGAGTGGAAAAGCTCTCAATTACAAAAACCCCGAACCCTGATGCTGGCAGTAGCTCTGGTCCATCAGTCATGGCTTTCGGTTGGCCGTCATTAGCTGTGTGAACTCGGCGTAGTCTGTCCTCACTGCTTCCTGAGCCGTACAGGAAAGGAGACATCTGTCTTCCTGCGTGCGGCAAGCGAAAATGATGTCTGCGATGTGTGCGGCAAGGCGATGTTCGGGCACTTTTTCTCGTTGTGACTGCTTGTCATTTAAGGCTGCATCTCGAAGCATGCTTGCGGAGATGGGTTTCGGGTTTAGGGTCTCGGGTTTGGGGCTTAGGGTTTCGGGTTTCGGGTTTAGCGGCCAAGAAACCGCACCCTACTTACCGGGTACTCTCCGGGAATTCCCCTGTTCTTAACCCCCATAACTCCCTGCCCAAACCCCAAGCCTTGAAACCCATGTATGATCAGTTTGCTGGATTAGGGTTCCACTTTTTTTGGGCACCTTGTTGCAGAGGTTAACCCTCGAATAAACCCCTCGACCCCTTAAACCCTAAACCTTAAACCCTCAACCCCTCAACGTGTGAGAATAGAGATTGCACCCATGTTTTTTCTGACTTGTCGTACGCGGCCCTTCCGCAGGGCGGGACTGCTCGAGCATGCGACTGAAAAGTCAGTGGCCGATGGCCTTTATTTCCCTTGTGCTAGGGATACGCGACTTTTATGGTAGCGGAGCACCTGGTGCTCCGGTAAGCGATCACGGGCTTGCGCGAACAGCTGGCTCCTCTCAGGGCCGCGGCGGAGGGACTTTTGGTCCTTTCCACTCAGTGATGAAGCAGGCGAGACGCTTTCCAGGTTTTTTACCAAAACTTTTCGGTCGTGCGAATCGCCACTCGCCGACCCCAGATTGCTTACGCGGAAAAAGCACTGTGTCACTGTGTCCGAGTGGATTTGAGCTGCAACGCAAACCTTTACCGAGATGATTCTTTCTTCAAAGCTCTTTGAGTTAGCACGTCACTCCCATCTCTTTTGCACAAGTACAGAATATTCAGCCTTATGAACGGGCACAATATTTTTGCGTATGAGAGCCTTCAACTTGAATAAAGAAGACAATCGATTCTCGGATTCCTCATCCATGTTTTTTTTTGCATGATGTTTGCGTACGCTTGGCAGGCGGTTAGTCGTCTTTTCTTGTGCAAGGGTTCGACGTTAAAATGTGCGCTTACACTAGCAATGTGCGTCTATGATGCCGAGCAACATGTTCTGATCAGGTTCCATGTTAACAGCTGTCGTCCTTCAATGGTAAGCATGGGTAGCATGTTTTGACCTGCCATTGTTTGCAACGACCTGAGATGTTGTACGCTATGTTATTCTGAAAGCATTGTTGTAGCTCGGGACGCGCGCTGCATGGATGATGCCTTGTTGAAGCCTTCCAAGGAGCTTGCCCCAATGGCTAACGAAGCACTAAGACGAATTTGGGCGCATGACCTTTTTTCAGGTGCGATGTTCCGTCAAAATTGGGTCGCCCTGGGTGTGGGACGAAGAATGGCAGGACAGACCATCTGCCGTTTAAACCGTGCACATTCCGTTCGGTTATTGTTTTCCCATTCGATTCGAAACAGTTGCCGAACAACCAAGAGGTCAACAGGAAAAGTCGTAGATTTTTTTGGGTGTTCCTCTGCGGTTTTGTTTCCATCTCTGGAGAGTTCTGCACATCGTGATGAGGATTATGCCGAGAAAAGTCCGGATGTCATTGCAGTGGGCACCCTTGTGGAAGTCAAAGATCCGAAAGCTTTGCGGGCCAGGTCGGATGTTTCAGTGAATTGCCAGTGCCGAGATCAGAGCATCGTAGTGCAGCGTATCCTCATGCAACCCATGCGCCCAGGGAGTTTCGTGCAGATATGGTCCATGGCCCTGATTCCACGAACGAGGATATTGGATCTAGCAAACGCGTTTTGCAGAGAGCGTTAGTCGGCGTTGAGTACATGGACAACGTCCATGTATGTCCATCTGTCGGCTTGTTGAGTCGTGAGGATGTGATCATGTGCGATTTAGCTCCAACATTGGAAGCTGTATTGAACGGCAAGGGGCCCAAGGTGCAATGTTTCATCACACTCTTGCGAGCACGCCACTTTCCCATTTGCGAAACTGAGGTACAGATGCTGTTCTGCTTGTGGCGGGTGTTACTGATGGAGCGCAGGCATTGTTGGAAGAGAGCAATGTTTTGTGGGGCGACACTTGCTAAGCCAAAGTAACTTGGCCCCAGGGCGACTTGATGGATGGAGCTGAAGGGCTTGCAGCGGCGTCGGTGTGGCAGCTGGCCTCGGAGTTGCATGAGCGCCAGGCAGTTTGGGCCCATGACGATCTCTTAAGACAAAAGCACACAATGTCATGTGGGGCTTTCTCAGCAAGCTGGAGGGTGCAGTTTGCTCTCCATTGCAGACCTTTCAGACAGATGTTTACCTTCGCATTTTGCATTTTGCATTGCGGGAGGTAGTTCGCATCGAGTCACAATATTTACGATCTCACGCGGGCAGGTCAGTCATCGTGCCAACGGGGCTGTTGGATACACTTTCCATATGAGGCAGAATTACTCTGCAGTGGTTCTTGATACATGTGAAGATTCGAAGATGCAGTTTCATGGGCAGTGTGCTTTCTTTGAAGGCTGCAGTGTTTTCAACTTGTTGGTGACACGATTGTGGACCTTCTTGCCGATTCTCCAGAAGCTGCACGGTTGATGGACTTACCACAAGGTGTAGTGGTCGAAGGCCCATTGGAACGTTGCATGAGCTTATCACGAAGTCACGGCGTCCTTCAACTGATGAAGTCAACAAGTGCCGTTTCTCAGGTGTGCGAACTGCCAGCGCTACATCTGCTGATGTTGCTGGTATGAAAGCAGGGCTGAGTGGGTGGGCTCTCGGAATCTGTGGGCAATTTGCAGTGCTTGTCTTGTTCATGATTTGCCTGTGATTCTTGGACGCCATGTCCAAGGAGTTCATGAAGTACATTGAAGCTGCCCAAAGACGTCGAGATCCAGAGAAGCGACATCAAGGAAGCACTGTTTTCATCATGGATGTCACCCAGGCAGCCAGGCACACGAAATTGTCAAGGCAGCTCGTTCGAAATGAAGCCTTGTTAGGCAGACTACTACGAGGGATGGGGTCTCCACGGACGCTTTGTTCTTCTGGAATCAGCAGTCATGGATTGTTTGGCAGAGGAGCCTGTGATCCTTGCCAGAGCACATCGAATGTACATCGACTTGGTTCGTTCATTCATTCCTGCGAGGATAAGGGTCTTGTCCAGCTTCGTGAAGGCTATGACCGCTACAGAGGGGCTTCCCGGCCGAAAATTCCGCCAGGCACAGACTGCACAGACTGCACAGACTGCACAGACTGCACAGACTGCACAGACTGCACAGACTGCACAGACTGCACAGACTGCACAGACTGCACAGACTGCACAGACTGCACAGACTGCTAGTTTTGGTGTTGCCTTGATTTGTTTTCTTTTCATTCGCAGTCGCCAAGTTGTTGAACGTTTTGCACGTTGAGGTCTACCACATGCGCAGCTTGGTCAAGTCATGGAGAAGTGGCGAGCCGGGAGATGTCAACGGCTCCTATTTGACTTGGCTTCTTCGAGATGTTTTCACAGGACACCGGTTTAAGGGAATCAGTGGATGGTTTGTGAGTTTCTCAGTTTTTGCCTCATTTCAATCGTTCTCCAACCGTCAGGTGGCAGCATTGAAGTTCATCTGCTGTTCTGCGTAGCTCAGGGGAAGCCTGCAATAAGCAACCTGGCATACTTTGACTGTGTGGTATCTGAGGCTCATCAACAAGGCCCTGTAAAGGCCAAGACCTTGCAAGACCCACAATACATTCAACAATCATTCAAGGCATAGCGCTGATGGAGTTCATGGAAGATTTTGGCAAGGTATATACAAATCCAGCCTCTTGGTAAGCGAAGACGATCCAACCGTGCCTGGCTGGTAGATCGTGCATGTCAGGTTGGTTCAAATTTAGTGTAAAACTTTCCATTGTTCAGACATGTTGTCGTGTGGCAACCTAAGGTAACGCAGGACCATCGAGTTGCAGGATGGGCAAGAGCAGTGCGATCTGAACGGCTGATGTGGAAGCAGGCGATCCACAATGTCTTCAGTGTCTTCCACGTGTTGAGAACAAATTGAGATGAGATTCGTTGTTTAAAAGAACCCAGAAGATTGGAAGGCACTTGTGGCATCATCTGTCTAGCGTGGGCAGGCGCTTGAGCGAGGAGCGGGCAGTGTGGATCGCGACACAAGGAGCCTCGTCCTGGAGCTGGAGAAGCGGCTGGCCAACGCCGAGAGGCGCTTTGCATGCAAGAACCAACTCGCAAAGCGCAACAATGCCAAAAACACTTCATTGCGACGGGCAGGCAGAAGGAAGAAGCCCAGCGCACGGCTGATGTGATTTGGAACCATTATCAATGCTTCGTAGTTTTAAATCTTGGGAACCTCCCCAACACAACTGTGTTGCTTTCATCTTAGGCCCGCCAAGACCGAGCAAACAATTTCCAGGACGGCGCGAAGCCCTGTTTGAAACAAGCGTGCTGGGATTTTTGTTTATGAAGTCGAAGGTGACCCGAACTTTTGTTGCGCTGCACCATACCCTTATGCAGGACAGGTACGTCTCTGCCCTAGAGAATCAGGATCGGGAGCTGTCGTCCTGAGGTTGTCGTTTGAGTTTGTGCCACGCAGTCTCCTGCAATCGCTTTCCGCCTGCTCCAGGAAGCGATGAATGAAAAGCTCATGGCCTCCGAAGAGGAGCAGTTGAAGGCCATGCAGTCGCTGGCCACGGCCCGAGCTGTGAACTTCACATATCAGCGTGATGGTGGTATGCTGTGTTTCGCTCGCGGTCTCCTGCAGCCTTGCCGAGCGATGTTTCGGCAATGTTTGCTCAGGTCGAGGCACAAATGGAGGCATCCGAGCTTAAAGATGAGTTCAGTGGCCTGGACGCGAAACTTGCTGTGGCAGCGATTTCGTTGTGCCACCGCAGATTCTTAGAGCTGACTGCAAGCTGCATGCACACATGCCCTGAGAGGTGAAATGCAGTACACAGACAATGTTCTTCTGATGATGTTGGAGCAAGAGGTGGCAGAGTTGAAGGACATGGGTGCGGTGCGTGTATCGGGCACCCGTCAAGACTTCAGGGACTTTGAATGGCCGTCTTCTCCACCCTCAAAAATTAGTTCATGATGAGGCTGCAACCGCAGTGCGTCACTCTCGCGGCTTAAACACTCCCTCTGAAAGACATGGCGTGGCAGAAAAGCTATGTCTCCTTGCAAGGTAGCGTGCTCCTCCGGAGCACACATCAATCAAAGAACCATAGCTGTCAAACAGCAGACCTCCCTATAAATTGTTGTCGTTGTCATGTGTGCTTTGTAGATGTATTGCATGTAACTACCATGTCCTTTAGAGCTTTTCACCAGTTTCATATCACTCTCATTTCGTTCATCCCAGGACCCAAAGCATTCATAGCATGAACAGTTGTGTGTGTGTAAGCCCTGATTCTAAGCCAACGACTTTTGGAGGACTTGACTGCCATTGAAGCTTGAACTCATTTCATGCAGGGGGTCAGGACGGTGCTGCAGTTGCCTGCCCGACGAAGCTGGCTGCAGTTGCCGAGGAAGCAAGATGGGACGCCATCTTGTGTACCTGCTGAATGTTTTCATGGTCATCATGCAAGCTGTGCATGGTTCGCATCCTGTGATATCTTCGCATATCTTCGCTGTGCAATCCCGAAACACCCGCCAAGTCTGCAACTTTTTGTGCCTTGGATTGGCTGCTTTGTGAGACTTGCGCTTCGGTCACAGTTTGAGCTTGGCATACATGTCACCTTGAAAAAACAGGAAAGTTGGATTCTCAGGATACTTCGGACACCATCCTCATCGTCTGTGTGTGTGTCTAGTAATAAACGAACGAGGATCTGGAAAGTGTTGACATGATCAAACCCATGGATCACTGAAGTTCATTCCTCTTATTCCTTACCTTTTTGCCCTTTTGTGGGCTCGCTACTGAATATCTTGGAAACTTTACATGTGTGAATATCAGAGATATTTTCACACGGATTTGTTTACTAATTATCACGCCCATGAACCAGCCAGTACACCAGTAGACTGCTGGGGTCCTCAAGGATTTCCGGCTGGTCCAGATAGGCCTTCCGGGTTGCGGTGGATTGGTCTGCCTGATTTTCCGTGGCTTGCGGCTCCCCTTGTATCCCATTCTCTCATTCATGTTAGAAAAGTTATGGTCTACAATGTTTGGGGTTTCACCGCCACCGTGATGCACGTCTGGGAGAATCGGCGCCGTTTTATCGTGAAGACAGATCACTGGTAATGTTTCGACATGTGGTCACAGTAGGCTATCTCTCTAGGAATCTGCTGAGAAGACAACCGCCGACTTCACAGGGGAGCAGGTGCAACGTGACAATCAATGAAGGGATGCTTCTTCTGAACATGGTTGTGGCAGGCTAGGCAACTACACGATGCAGAGGTGGTGGCCGAGGAAACTTGGATGAACGCCTGCACCTCATCTCACTTGCTTGCATGTCCCGACTGCAAAGATGCGAGGATCTACGAATGCGGTTAGATGCCGCATCAGAAGCAAAAATCCAGGCTGAGATTCAGAAAGAGGTAGAAAGAGGCTGGTGATGGATGCTGGGTCTCGTGGGTTGTGCTTGCATCCGAGGATGGGGACATTCAATGCAAGTGCATACGACGGCATATGACCCTGCAGGTGACCTGGAGAATCGTGTTCAGGCACTTCGACTGGAGCTTCGAGAAGGGCACCTGGCAGATTCAGTGCAGCACGCCGAGGAGAACAGACCAGTGGCTGCCCCACTGAAACAGGAGTGAACAGGAGTGAACGCGCTATCTCTGGTATCTTGGTCAGAGGAGCGTGGCAAGATTCAAGAGACGATGAGAGGAGAAGTTGAACGACTCAGGTGGGTTTACCCGACACAAATATGTGATCGTTTGCTTGCACAGAGTCCTCCGTTCTCAGCTCCTCAACACTCCTCCCAGGCAGTCTTTGGAAGACGAGCGCAGCCGCACGAGACAGATCATTGATGAGGGGCAGCTGGAAATGATGCGTGTTCGCCACCAGTTCCAAGAAGAGCCGCATGACATCACATTATTCGTTCAACCATTCTACGAAGCATATTGATGAGTTGAAACTGCATGCCTGCAAGGACGGCGCAAGCTGCATTTCTGGCGAAGCAGGACCCACAGCTGGCTTGCTAGTTCCATGAAATTCCATGCAATCCAGTTTCGAGGAGCTTCAACATCTGGAGTCGACCAGGGAAGCCGAGCTGGTCGAAGCGCGCAAAGAGCTTGCGGAGGTGCAGAGGTGCAGCCCTCTTGCGAGCACATTTGCCGTTCTCGGAGTTGGAGCGGAAACTCGTGCCAGGCGGCAGGTGGCAAAAGACCAAGAAGTCAAGCGTCCGTGATGCAACAAGTTGAAACAGGTTATAGCAGGGTTGTGGCGCTGCTGGCTCTAACCCCAGCTTTTGGATTGGGGCCTTCTAGTTGAAGATAAACTCACGGGCAACGATGTCCCTTCGGTTCTTTGATCAACGAAGACAGGTAAACGATTGTAAAAAGGGTATGTATGGCCTGTATATGTTTGTATCATCCCGCAGCCTTTACTTGTCAACTTTGCTGTTCCTGCCATGACCTTTTGCAGTTCACATCTGAGCGACGCGGGAAAGGAGAGCGAGATGTACTGTTGTGTGATGCCGATTCATGAAACCTGGCATAGTGTGTAAGGAGAAGGAGGTTGCGCATTTGCTTGCCCATACCGTGTACAAGCCCTCCAAAGATCTTCTGTGGCATCCATGGCATTCAGCAACGATCGGCAATCGAGTTCTCGTGTGGGTGTGTAACCAAGTGTCAACACATGGGACCACGATGAGATCGCAGATCTTCGCGAGTCTCTTTGGAGACCCAAGGGAGAGCAGTGCGGCCATCCATACTACTGGACGGCTGTCAGAAAGCTCCCACCCACCGACAAGGGACAGGTGGATAGAAACCGACGTCATGAAAGCCTGAACAAAGTCATGGAGAGAACCAAGCTCGTTGAGTGCCTTAGCACAAACAATCTCAATGTCGACAACCGATTGATTCGGTCATCAAGGGGAGCACGGAACAACTTGAAGCCTTAGGATCTGTCATCTTTTCGCAACTGCAGATTCAGTCCACCTTTTCTTAGTTTTTTTCCCCGCGTTTGTTTGCAGAATTTCAGCCCGCAGAGTGTCCGCAGGCTTTAGTGCCTGATAAGAAAGTCGCGGGTGTGAGAAACTGTCAAATAGTTCGTGTGACAAAGCCTACGAAGCCTGCCAGGAGGTTTAAGCCCCTGGAAAGTGTACAGCGTCAAGCTTAGGGCTTACGGATCCGTCCCAGGAAGGTGGTTTAGACAAAGATAAACGGATCTCTGTGACAGTGCTTTTGGCTTCGAGCTTCGTAGTGGGAATTTCGGTGCAATTTCTGACTGAGGCCTGACGCTCACGAAGCCCTCGAGACTGGGCGATTGACGAAGTCGCACCGGCATGTGACATCATGCTACAATGGGCTCAAACCTATTTGTTGTGCTATTTCAGCTTTGTTCCTTCTAGTTGCTCAAGCTGTTGTTGTCTGTTCCACGTGTTTGCCTGTGCTGAGCATTCATGCTGCAGCATCGCTTGACCAAGTCATTTGGGTTCACTCGCACGAAATGTTCCGGCTTGTTGAAGCTTCCAAGTCCTTCTGATCTCGTTGCCTCGGTGGCCAGGATGCAGGATCGACTCATTGAAGAGGCTGATGGGAATTTTCAACATGTGGAACAGAAAATCCATCGTCTGCTGCAGGTGCAAGCGCTGCGAAATGCCGGCACCTTCGCCGCCAATGCATCTGCAAATGTCCGCACCTTCTTGTTAAAAGTGTGGAGGCTAAGAGCTTTCAAAGAGCCGACCCGCCAGGCAGATCTGCAAGAACAAAATCGAGCATTGCAGGCCAGACTGCTTCTGTACTCGGGAGCAGAAGTGTGAAAGATCTTGTGCGTATCCGCCGCCTTAGGCGCGTGTGGCATTCCTGGAGCAGCAAAGTCCTGCGGACAGGCGTGTGCAGGCTCTATGCCTATGCCGATGCATTGAGGGGGATCTGGGGGAGTTTGCGAGACAGAGGCAGATTTCTGGGAATTCTCACGTGTCAGGCTCAGCGTTTGGCCTTTTTTGAAAAGAGTGTCCGTGACCTGGAGGCTGAGAGGCGTGTGGATGTGTGGGAATTAGATTCGATTAGCAACATGTTTGAGCTAGACAGAGGTCCCACACTGTGCAGGTCGGCGCTGTTGGTGCGGGCAACGGTGGCAGAAGAGCAGTTGAAGCAGTTGCAGAAGCACTTGAAGGCCAAACAAAATTCGAGATGCACTGGTTATTGCGCACGTGTTTGCCACAGGAAATCACCGAGGATTATCAGATGCAGATTCTCAATTTGAAGATGAAAGGGCACAGCTAGCTCCCAGTACATAAATCTTGGAATCAGCAGCATCGGTCACGGGCAAGCACAATCCATTTCATGATAAACGAACGCGACTGATTATGAGGAAATGGATGTTCTTGCTCAAACCTGCGTGTGTTCCATGTGTGCATATGTGCAAATGTAACGGTCGCTGAGAAGATCTTAGCTTGCCACTACCATGGGTAACGCGAATAGCGACCCAGCAGCGTTCAGACCTTTGCTCATGTCAAAGTCCGCCACCTATGAAATTGATTCTTGGGCTGCTTGTTGGATGTCGATTTGAGTTACCACCACGAGCACTCAAGATACTTGTCTTCATGGATCTGCAGGATAAGCGAAAATTGTATGATATTCACACAGATACATAGACACGCATGTATAAAAAAGACATGCGCGTATATACGTACGCACATACACATATTTGTGTATAAATTTGTATACACAGATATGTATATCTGTAAATACACAAGTACATATAAGTATATAAATATAATTAGCAATAAGTATATATATATATATAGATATACATATATATATATGTATATATAAAGGTAAAAAAATACATATAAATATACATATGAGGTAACTCCCCCCCTTTCCAAGAACCCAGGTCTGACCAGAGTTCAGGATCTTGGATTCGGGTTCCGGGCCGATTCAACCCGACTCACCCTGAATCGGGCCGATTCAGGTTGAATGGGTAAATCTTGTTAGGGTTTAAGCTTTGGGCATTTGCACCTTGGCCGGCAGTTGAACCTAAACCCTTAAGCTTAAACCCTATGGGGTTAAGGTTTAAAGGTTTAGGGTGTAGAATTTAGGCATTAAAGCCGAGTTTAAACAGCGGCGCGCGCCCGCCCGATACGCCGATAGGCCCGCGCCGAGGGGAGTGACGTATCGGCGTAAAGCGAGTTCTCGAGTCATTTGCATGCACGCTGTCATCCTGAGTTCCTCAAGGCATGCACGCGCTGGAGAGAGCATTGCGCTTGAGAATTCCCCCCCCCCCCCCCGCCCCTGCCCTCCACAGGTGTGGCCAAGTGGCCTCAGCCCTTCGCATGACATTGGAGTCCGTTTGAAAAAATTCACAAGGAGGCTCAAAGGACTCGACATACTCGGCATCTCCCAGCCCCTTCAAGTCTTTCGCCATGGCGAAGTCGAGCATCCTTTCTGCCGCATCCCCGGAAGAATTCAGCACGCAGCTCAACTCCGTGTTTTCCAGCCATGGCCGTAGGGTTACTGTTGACTGCAGCTCCTGCAGCTCTCAGCCTGGCATTCCGTGACATTTCGTTCCATGGCATCTTGAGGTGGATGGTGGCAGTTTTTGTCGGGAGCCTCCCTCGACCCCGATACCCAAGGTCCTGCTGGTCGCATTTTTGGGCTCCACCCTCTCCTTCGTGGGCCTGCGCTCGGCGCCCCGCCAGGCGAGACGCTGTTGCCAAACGTAAAGGGCTGCAACAAGGTGGCTGTCAGGGACTTGTCTCAGAGATTATCAGACAGGAGAGCCGCACGGCGCTGCGGGGACAAGCCGGCGCCTCTGCCACGCCATGGCACCTCGGCACGGGCATTGGGATCATTTGTTGTTTGATGGCAGTGGCACCTCCCCCCCCCCGCCACTGCTCCGGATGACAATCGTCTCATGAGACGCAAACCCCGCAAACCGCGAGGACGCCAGTCCTCAGCCGTGACGTGGTGGAGATCGAGCGCCGGGCTCAGGAGAAACAGGCCCTCAAAGATGGATCGCAGGACCTCAAGAACCAGAATTCCAACATGATACTGCAGGTTTACCGCTCCTGCGCAAGGGGCTCGCTGCCGCTTCATGATCAAGGAGCACAAATTGCCTCCTTCATTCAGTGCTTCAAGCGTGTCTAAGTGTTTATGCTGATGACACAGGGATTTACGGTTTGAGGGGCACGGCTCGCCATTTGGGGTTCAGGGTTGATAGCTGCGGTTGTCGGTAGTAGGATTTCAATTAGCCGCAATGGCCAGACATATTGGATGCTTCGAAATGATTGACATGGCTGTACTATGCAGAGTTCTCTCACCACCTTCACAACTCTTCAAAGCGCCAGTCTGGTGCTGTGATCCTTAGGTCGCAAGAGTTCTCCAGTATTGTGTCTGGATCTCTTGTGCACTCTGTCGGTTGGTTCCTGATTATTCGCTTGGACACTCGGAGGCTGATGCAGATGTGAGCGAGGCCGGTTGTTGGCTGCAACCGTCTGATGCCCTCAACATCCCAAAATGTCCCAAAGCCCGGATGTCAGTACGAAGGTGCTGTCCGAGGGCCGCAAGAGGCTGGGCTTTGACCAGGCCTGGATGCCGGACTCCGACTTCAAGTGCCCAGGCTGCGGTCTGTCCAGCTTTCCCGACTTCCGGTTCTTGGGATTCCCAAAGGCCTCGGGTTTATGGTTGAAGGTCATAGCAGGGTCATAGCCCAAGGATCTACAACTCCGAGGATGAGGAAGCCGGCCCTTTGAAGGAGCGGGGCGAGGGGAGACCGGCGGTGAACTGGGAAACCCCCAAGAACCCTGACCCCTCCATCCCAAAGCCTACAACTTAAACCCTAGACTCTAATCCCTTGCAGGGCAAGATGAAGGACAATGGCCTTGTCGACTTCACTTACGAGGCCATGTTGAGCTTGATTGGCATTCTAGACTGTGGCCGTTTTAGACGTCCGGGACTTCAGCTGTTGGAGGTGGTCGTGGCCTTGTCTCGTTGTGACACTCGTTGTGACACCCGCTGTGTTCGTTGTATTCGTTGTATGTTTGTAGTATATTTGTTGTATTATGTTCGTCCTTCCTCGGAGTGGAGGTTTGCCTAGAGTAGTTTGTCTGTGCTCGTTTGTCACCTTGGGTAGAGCTAAAGCCAGAGTGAGCATGACTGCCGAAGCCCAGGTCCACCTGTACTACGAACCTCAGTGAGGCGGTTAGCATATGGCCCTGAGGGTAAGCTGTGGATGTTTTGGTGGCACACAGCGACTGCAAATAACATTGATGCGGCACAGGCATCGCACAAACTGTCGTCCATGTTTGCGAGTGCTACAGGTTTGGTCGAGGCTTCTACGGGCAATTTGGCAGGGTACAGTAGATATGTGGTTGTGTCTTTCTCCCAGAGAAGGCTGCAAGTGGATGCATTGCATCGCAGGCCTCCAGCGGCAGGAAAAGGGGGGAACTCCGCTCTGCCCTAGGCCCCATTTAGATCCCTCCCAGACCCAAAATAGGGAAACAGTCTCTGGCTGACTGCTGCTCGACTTGAGCACTGGTCTCTCCTGTCGTGTTTGGAAGTTGGCGCCATCACGGCCGATGCTGCAGCCAGGAGGCTCAGGCACCGGCATCGTCTCTCAGCCACCTCCGCGCTTCGTCGCCATGGCCCGGTCCAACTTGCTATCTGCCGCATCTAAGCAGAAGTTTGCTATGATTGGGGCGTGGGTTGGGGGTGGGGGCGTTCTCCAAGCAGCGGTGAAGCTGTCCACATCTAAAGAAGATCCGTTCACAACGGCTCAGGTCCTGCTGGTCGCATTTTTGGGCTCCACCCTCTCCTTCGTGGGCCTGCGCTCGGCGCCCCGCCAGGCGAGACGCTGTTGCCAAACGTAAAGGGCTGCAACAAGGTGGCTGTCAGGGACTTGTCTCAGAGATTATCAGACAGGAGAGCCGCACGGCGCTGCGGGGACAAGCCGGCGCCTCTGCCACGCCATGGCACCTCGGCACGGGCATTGGGATCATTTGTTGTTTGATGGCAGTGGCACCTCCCCCCCCCCCACTGCTCCGGATGACAATCGTCTCATGAGACGCAAACCCCGCAAACCGCGAGGACGCCAGTCCTCAGCCGTGACGTGGTGGAGATCGAGCGCCGTGCTGATTCATTAACCCTTGCTGCAGTATATAGTTTCTTTGGTGGAATGTGCCGCAAAACCAAGCACTTTGCCACAACGCTGCGCCTTTCTCCAGGTTCACAGCCCCTGCGCAGGGTGCCCGCTGCCGGTTCATGATCAAGGCAGGTTCCTCTCTCGGTCGCACTTCTCACTGTCCAAGATTGCTTCGAGGCCATACATACATACATATATATATATATATATTTATTTATACACACGTGCTGCATGTATAGACGTACATATAAACACATAAGTAGGATATATATATATATGTATATATATATATATGTAGATACATGTAAATGCGTCACATGCGCTAATCCCCTTTTGTCTCCCCGACCTACCTCGACAGAGATTTACGACGATCCCAGATCCAAGATTCAATATTCTCAAGCCCAACTAACTATCCAAGATCCACGATCCAAGCCCAAGCATCCAAGATCATTGGATCTCGGATTCTGAGACTCCGGTCTTGGTGTGGATTTCCCGCACTGGTATCCCCGATCTCCGGGAACCTCCATCCTTGCCTATGACCTGGGCCTGATATCCTTCAAGGTCCTCTTCTGAAGACATGTCCTAGGTGGCCACGGTGACGTTATGTCCCATACGTTTGCAATATGGAGGCAATGACATCGTACGCAGTGAACAACACGCATCCACGTCCTTAACGTGCACCTCGGTGCGTTGTCCATCCAGATGGGCGATAGCCATATCGCGAAGTGATTCGTTTGGGACAGCTCAAAAGCCTTTTAGTTAAGTAATTTGGGAATCGCTTGTGTTTAGCCTCGTGAAGCCATTGTTGCGATTGTCTCTTTATCCAATAGAGCACTCGATCCCTCTCTGTCCATTTCTTTGATTAGACTGTCTGCCAATATCGTTTGGGTGAACCAGCTCACACGTCTCTTGAAGACGCTCCCGCGGCAAAAGGCTCTCCCCACTGCCACGGACACGTGGCGAACGCTGGCAGGCTGCCTGCCGGCCCGGTCCGGGGACAGCCCTGGTGTTGAGACTGAGCGCCTGCTCCAAAGTCTCTGCGAGCATCGCACATTTCATCCCACAGCCGAAAGCGGATCCCTGTGAACGTGCACTCACCTCGTGGGGCTCAAAGCTGTTGTTACTTGGAAGCTTCTCAGCATCTCGCCCTCCTATGCCGTCACAGCATGAACCCCTAAGACCCCATTCGCCTTGGGCTTGCGGTTGGGTTCTGGGAGTGACCGGTCTTTGAAGGTACATGTGCCCAAGGGACTTTGGATAAATCTCATAGAATGCCAGCCCCTGTGCCCTGCAGGAACGCCGTGGAGACATCACAACTAATCAGCATACATTTGTTGAAGGCCGCATCCGCTGTCTAGCATCTGTGCCTAGGGTTGCCTTGTTGTGATTTGGGATACTTTGCAGGTCGGGACCCTCGAAACCCAAGACCGCTAGCCGAGCCTTAGCTCCGCAGGACATCCGCACTTCTCAGGTGGTTTGCATGCAAGAATCCAGCGACAACGCGTAAGCTGACTCTCGTCGAAAGTGCTTCCAGCTACTGTCTTGACAGTCCTGTGGTCCATCCGTGCCGCGACTTCCTTCGCTTTGGCCTGCTTAAGTTGCACCCACTACAGTCTTTGATGCGCACCTCGACTCGTTTCTTTCTTTCCTTCGAGGCCAACGCAACCTAGTGAAACGCCTGACTCTTTGAAGGCAAATGACATGGTATATCAGTATCATGAGCGCAAGCTCCCCTGCCTGATCCGGGTGGACAACAGCAACAATCTGTACCCCCAAGCTAGGTCGCTAAGACTTAAGACTGCCTCCACACCCTCTGGCACAGGAATAGGACCTGTTCCAGACTATCAACGTCCATGCTCGGAAGCTCGCCTTGTTCCACCAGGCCAACACCCGTAGCACCCTGACCTTCTACAGCCGGACCCGTTGAACCCTTCACTGTGGACTGCCATTCCCTCTTGGATGCAGAGCGAAGTTGCTCCGGTGCCGCACGCGTGACGCGCCCGCAGCGACTCAGCAATACCACCTTAGGATCTGAACATATGACCTTACTCGATCCATTCTCATGGCGCCTCCAGTACAGGACCCAGTCGCCAGGTTCAATTTCTGACACGCTGGCCGCGATCTCCCCAGCAAAGCCGTTCGATATGAGAGTTCCTTCTCAGCCTGGACAATTGCAACTCTATCCTGTTCGTAGTCACTGTCAGCCAGAACACGCGAAGATGTCCGGAGCCGGGCAATCTGGTCATGCTCAAGTGTGGCCGGTAAGGACAAGTCCTCAGAGAAGACCTTCAAGATATCAGGTCTAGGGCAGCCACACAAGGGCAGCCTGACGTTGCCCTCCACATGGTCGAACCATCTGGCCGGCAACCAGGTCAAAACCTTGGTCACGTTTGCTCACCTTCCATGGAAGCAGATCCCGTGCTTTTGGGTACAGCGCCTTGGAGTTCCTTCGGGAGCTTGGTCGAGGGCACTTCAAGTTGAGGGCATGGCCTTCCAGAAAGTGAGCCGGACATCGCCAGAGAAAACTTCGAAAGAAGGATGGTATCAATTTGCTGGTGGAAGCTGCGGAGTGTGGGGGAGGACGGCAATGGAGGACAAACTACTATCAGCACAAGCAGACCATGTTTCAGGCTAGTCAACTCAGCTGAAAGCGATGGTTCACACATTGCTGGTTCGCACATTGCTCGCCACGATGCTCACTTTGATGAACGCGCGTCGGGCATGGAGTTCGGGAGGAAAGGGTTGAAAGGATTGCTATAGCATCAGGATTCGCGATCCGTTTGTTCAGCCGGCAAGACAGTCCGACAAGCGGCGGTCGACGAAGCGATATCTTCTGCTATGGAAGCGGAACCTGCTAAGACTAGCCCAGGGAACGCTGTGGACCTCAAGCACGGCCGCTCCCGTCCCTCCCTCTTGCCGTGAACGTTGCGCCGGGGGACAGCGTGATGGCACCTTATTGTCTATATGTTGACATGTGTTGGTATCACATCATACAAAGTGAACAGCACCCATGCAGGTCCCGGTGTGTTGTCAAAATTGCCCATCCCGATGGACCATAGCCATACGGCACTATATGTACATGGAGATGTACATGTGTATGTACATGTATATGCATCTTCATACCATAACTTCTGTTTTCATGCTTATATGTTTATGCCTCGTGTTTATGTTTATGTTTATTTGTCGCCTCCCCCACGCCAGTGAATGGGACTACCCTTCCTCAGCGAGACGCTCAACTTGAAGCTTTAAACCGTCCAAAAACCCCAAAAAGCTGAACCTTAAAGCCCCCCGATCCTTGACCATGGGTAAGGCACCGGTGCGTGATCTGTATGCACACATTTTAATGTGTCTTAACAATACATACATCTTGTTGCTTGTGTTTTTCCAGGCTGATGCAGATGTCAGCGAGGCCTTGTCCTGCCACGTCTGCTTAGTGCTTCGGAATGGTAGGGCTCCAAAAGGGTCGTCCTGAAACCCCTGCAGCCCCTTTCAGCCCCTTTCAGCCCCTTTCCAGCTCGCCTTAAAGCAAGGTTCTTGGATGATCAAGCTTTGCATGTATCATCAGCCCAAGCGCCGTACAGCCCAACCAACCTAAACCACGAGTCCGTCAGGTGCTGTCTGAAGGCCGCAAGAGGCTCGGTTTCGACCAGGCCTGGATGCCAGACTCCGACTTCAAGCGCCTCGGCTTCTTCAACTGAGAGGAAGGAAGGGAGCCTACAGGAGTTAAAAACGTAGCGCAGCAATTCAGTTCTTGCGGGCACTTGCAGTTGGGCGTTTTGCTTTGTGACTATTTCATATGTTGTCGAAACCCCGAACTCCGACAGGATCTACAACTCCGAAGATGAGGAAGCGGGCCCGCTGAAGGCTCACATATGCTCACATATGCTCACATCATTTAGCGATGCTCGGAGTGTCAGTTTTGACATGCTCATACTTTGCCTGGAAACGGCCCCGTCCTTGTCGGATACACGGACGATGCATCTACACATCTTTGGGGAGTGCTCTTGTTTTTTGTGAAGCGGGGGGGCGCGGGGGGGGGGGGGCTGGGAGGGAGAGGGCTGGTAGCGGGGCTCTACTACTTGTGGTCTGCTAGACCTTTTCTCCGCCAAACCTCCCCTCTCTTGCTGCTCGATGCTGCTCGCTTGAAAGCGTACATGGTTGGGTTCTCGAGCACCCCTCAATCCCTCTGCATTATGTGCAGCCGCACACGCTTGCCACGTATTTGCATGCTGCGGGCGCCAAGACTGCTCTTGTTTTGAATACATGCTTGACACCGACAGTGCCCTCCTTTCCTTATGCTGCTTGCAAGTCCTTTTCCCGTCGCTTTCTGTCCCAACCTCCCCGGCATGCATTCGTTTCCTGCAATCCGCTTCAAACATGCTAAGCTCCAAGGGCACCCCCTCCCGCCACCTTTTCTTGGCCCCACTTTTTCTTGCATTTCGTACAGGCTCAGTACCCAGAAACTTCGCCACTGCTTCAGACAAGATTTTTAGCTCACAGCGGCTCAGAAAAAGCTTAGTGCCTGCTTTCGCTCCTGCGTACAGGGCAAGATGAAGGACAATGGCCTGGTCGACTTCACCTACGAGGCCGTGCAGGGCAGTGCAGGGCAGTGCAGGGCAGTGCGGGGCAGTGCGGGGCAGTGCGGGGCAATGCAGGGTTTCTATGTCGGGTTTGATGGCAATGGTTTGCAAACGGGATCTTTGTGACAATTCTCACGGCAAAAACGCTGCCGGCAGGATGTGCAAAATTACGACTTTTCATTCATTGAAAAGCGAGGGAGCTCCTCAGTCGAAGACAGAATACAAACATGCAGAAACCCATGAGATGACGAAGGACAGGAGCTACGCACGTTGACCAAGACGATCTTTTTGCTGAAGAGACTCCTAGTACCGTGGCAGATGTCAGGTCCACCTGTACTACGAGCCTCAGTGAGAGTGAATCAGAGTGGTGGCTCCAATATGGCTCCACAGATGTAGGAATTGACGTGCCCGTGCCTTGAGGATCTCGAGGCTAGACATGCAACTGCAACCACTTGTAGTGAGACGACGTGCCTTTGGTTGCTTCAGCCCTAAGCAACTGCACATTCGTGTAGCAAGCCGGTGGGGCAGTGTGCGTGCGTATGTGAGGCATACGGGCGTTTTGGCAGGCTGGCAAAGCTAGCAAAGCTAGCAAAGCTAGCAAAGCTAGCAAAGCTAGCGAGCTCCAATGGTCATTTTCTCCCAAAGGCTGCAGCCGATGCTTCGCATCGCAGGCCTCGATCGTGACATCGCAAGAGTGCAAGGAGCTCAAGCCCCCTTCTCCAAGGACCACCCGTTATTCATGGGTAGGTACACTTCCTTCCGCTGGGTGCAAGTAGGGGCGCTCTAGTTGTATCAAGGTTTGGTTTTGGTTCTGCTTTAGCTACTTAGCTACTTGTTCCGGCTGTTCATGAGCCGAGTATATCCGCAGCGTGAAGGCTCGATGGCACACGGCGTAGTTGTCTGCACATGCGAAGCGAGAACGAGGGCAACTTTAAGATGCGGGCATCTAGGCGCGTGTATCTAACCACTATTGGTCCATCTTTGTCCACTTGTCTCTTTCCATCTCTCCGGATGAACTCGGGAGTGGGCCCGGATGGCTTTCCGGCACCTTCGATGGCCTCTGCGGGCATTTTGTCGGGGATGTCGGGGTGCCTCCGGTGGACTGAAGCCTTGGACAGAGCTGTCTGAACCGGAGCGTGCAGCATGGGAAGTGCTGGGGTATGGCAAGGCCTGGCATCAGAACCCGAGGCCGCCGAGGCCGCTCCCTCGCTGGAGTGAGCTGCAAGCACACCAGCAGGCTGCAGCCAAACATGGCCTCCAGCTTCACGAGGAGAGCTGGGAGAAGCTCAGGATCCTTAGCCACTCCAAGGCTAACGATGTTGACACCGCTGAGGGCGCCCACGAAACAAAGGCTTCCGCAGTTTCTGCCTTGACGGTTGGTGGCGGCCTTTGGAGTGGGGCAGCAGGGGCAGCCTGGTCGGTTTGCAAGAGACTAGCGCCGGTGGTGGGGGACGCCCTTGATGGGGCAAGGCACCCCGCGTTGCGAATGCTGGGAGGGGCTCTTAGGTCGATGGCCGATGTCACGGATTCCCTGACAGCTTCTGTTACAGTGGACGGCCTTGAGACCATCCTCTACTTGGACGACTCTGGCTCCATGCGCTCTTCGGTGAGGGGTGTCTTCGGAAAGTCCGGACTTCAATTGGGCCAGGATGTCTTGGATCAGGCCCTGAAGCCTAAACGCTGAACCCGAACCCAGACTCCCCCAGCTTCTGTCAATCTAGATCTCCCTAGACTTCCCAAATCCCACGCCGCAGCAAGTCTTGGATCAGGTGGCCCCACTGCTGCAAGGGCCGACACGCATTCTGAAGTTCGGCTCCCTTCCCAAAGTGCTGCTCCCGAGGGAGGAGCTCTCCAAGTCGCAAGAGCTGACTGCGACAGCGACGCTGCTCCAGAGCTTTGTTTGCATTGTGCGCTCAAAGTGCTGCAAAGTGAAGGTCCTCTGTATTGTTTCAGTACATAGATAAATATTGGAAACTCTGCAAACTCCCTCCTTTTGACAGTAGCGTGGTGGCTGCGCAGTGGAATGGAACCTCTGGCGGCACCTACCTGTGGAAGATGATCGAAGAGGATGTGTCCACAAGGTATACCCCCGGGCAGGGCAGGCTGCGCCTGATCGTCATTACCTCAGTTATGCGCATTCGCGCGCTGATCTCAAGCATTCCGTTCATAACCCTGATTCTCAGCCCAGTGGCCACTGCCGAAAAAGCTAGTCAAGAAGCACCCAGTAAATACAGGAAGATTTTTGCCAACGGCAGAGAGCAGCAGGGAAAGGCAGAGAGAGAGGAGCCCTCCTGCCCCTCATGCGAGAAAGAGAACAGAAGTGAAGTCAGAATGAAACGAGCACATGCGCAGACTTCACGTGCCTCCGGTTCATGTTGAGCAAGTGGCAAACGCGAGGAGCAATACCTCCACAGGTAGCGAAACACATGGAGACCTAACGGGTTGCTCACACAAGAACTGCCTGATATCAACTAAGGTTATCACGGACGGCCAGGACACCCATTCACCAGGCAGAGGAGCCAGCACCCGTGAACCAGTGAACCCTCGAACATTCCAAGACCTGTCAAGGTGATTACTGTGGCATCCGGGGCATGGATCCGTTGATGAAGGAGATTTGGAGTTGCGGAACTTGCCCGAAGGTTCTGTGTGCTTGTGTGTGTGTGTGTGACAATTTTTCAGTTGAAGACACAAGTGTTCGGATTGACGGAGGAGCTACACAATCAGGGCTTCGATGTGGAGTGGCACATAGCCCTTTGGCCTTTTTTGAGCACATCTTCAGTCTTTTCTGTTTGAGGAGGGTTGCCACAATCACCAGCCCAAGAGCCCTGCAGTGCCCCCACAGTGTGAAACTTATCCCTTCCCTGCTGCAAGCATCGCAAGCGCAGAGATCATCCTTGGCCACTTCCACGACTCCGAGAGGAAGCGCTACGAGGCCCTGGCTGGCGCCACCGGCGGCTCCTTTCTGGCGGTGGAGGACCTTTTGGTTCAGTGCTCATGGCTTGGCGATTGCATGTGACTGCGATGTCATGCGGACAATCCTGAGATGAGTGGCATTAGGAGGGGTTAGTACGATGTCGGGGTGAGGGTTTGTTTCCAGCTGGTGACTCTGCTGGGTCTGTTCACCTCCGTGTCCTGGTCCTTCCCAAATGCTGATCTGCTCACGCCACTAAACAGGAATGGCATGTTCAAGATGGAGCATGAAATTGACGAATTTGTCAACATCTCCCCATCTCCTTTCGTGCTGGGCTAGAGGACTCCAGGGCGATGGGGAACACTGCCTCTCAGCGCTTCCTTGCAGCCCTGGACGACGCACCGGCGGCGCGGAAGGTTCCCTCCTATGAACCCCCTGCAGAAAGCTGAAGCCTGAAGTCTCAATCTTGAAGACGGTTTTGTCAAGAAAGTTCTGGTCCGAAGATTGGTGTGGGGTTGCGGGTTTTCTCGGGCAGGCACGGCAGCAAGCGTACCTGGCAGACACCGCGGCCGGTCGAATGGAGAAGATGGAGTGGTTCAAAGCCTTGCCAGATCCTGGAAAAACGAAAGCAGTGCTGCCTTCTGGCTTGGAGAAGCCCCCTACCTCCTTCAATCCAAAGCCCCAAGCCCGAAACCAAAAAGCCCACAACGCAAAGTGCTGGTTTGAACAGCGCTTGGAAGAGTGCCCTTTCGTATAACGGCATTCAACTAGGGCCAACTTGGGTTTCCTGCGTTGAATACCCTGGCTCCGGAGCCGGGTTTACTGGGCTCGTGTCCACGCGCTTGTGTGTCACGCAAACGGACACTTGCATGTGCAAGATTGTCCATGCATGGAACGTTCTTGGTTTGTGTTGGGGGTTTCCGGAATTGGGCTCCAAGGGCCTTGCAAGGCGCATTGTCTGAAAACTGCCATGGCCTTTGACTTTGAAAAAGCATGGGTAAGCCTCGTGTGCTGGGCAGCTTGAAGTCGGATTTGGCGGCCTGTGCCGTTCGTGCTCAAGGTTTGGAGCTTCACGAGCAGGTGCGATTTTGCGCAGGCGAACGCACATTGTCATTGTATAATCTTGGGAAGCTCAAGTGATCCACCAAAGTTGAACGTTCACACGCAATAGCTTCCTGAAGATGGCGAAGATGCAGGCGCCGCTCTTCTTGAGCTTGGCTCCGCAGGATCAGAAGTCGAGCAGATTATGCGTTACATGCGCAGTGTGTATACAAACGATGTAGGCAGTTAGACTTAGCTTTGGAGGTGGCCGTTGGAAATGTTTTGAAACCCCCGCTTCTAGAGGTGCCCCTTGCACAGAGAAGCCGTCCGACGGTCCCGCCGAGTTATCGGTGCCCGCCGCCAGAGAAGCCCACAGAAAATCCTGCTGAGTACCCCTGGGGTGCCCACCCGCCGAGAAGCCGGCGCCGGCAGAGAGCCCCGTCGAGCATCAATCAGAGTATTCCTGGAGCCCAGTCAGTCCCGCAGAGAGACCCGCCGAGTCTACTTGGAGTACCCACCCCCAGGGAAGCCGGCCTCGTACTCTTACATCAGGTCGCTGTGGCAAAGAAAACCGTGTTCTTTTATTCTTTCTCTCTCTTCGAGATGCAGCTGCAGTCTTGGTGTGGGCGCCGCAATATCATCCAGGCACCTGCATCGCGTGCCTCAGGGCTGATTCCGAGCGGAACCGGCGGGACCAACACCAATGACTGGCGCCTGGTTTGCCACGGTAACAATGTGATGTTTCGCATAGCTAGTGTTGCTCAGTCCCTTGAGGCCTTCGGCCCCGCGCCGGCGACGGCACCGGTGCAGGCAGGGCACATGTCGGGAACAACCCTTGAAAGTGGACTCAAAAGACACTCAACACACGCTCGCAAGCCCATCCCGAGCCCCAAACGCGTGGACCCCAAGCTCCAAATGCCGCACTCTTCCAAGCATCAACTCAATCAGATCTCAAGTCTTGAAAGCTGACGCCGTTTGCCCCGCATCGTCGCTGGTTGCTCTGCGCTGAGCTTTGTTGTTTAGTGGGCTTGGCCTGTCGCAGTTGTAGCAAACAGAGCATCACAAGAGCCCACCGGGCCGAAAACATCAACGCAACGGTTTTTGGCAGATTTGGCAGTTTTCTATGTGTAGGGCCCTTACAGAGCGGCGACGCCGAAGCGGGGGGCTCCCCGCAGCCATGGCGAATGGTTATGCTCCAGCTGAGGCCTCGGAGGCCTGCGGGTTTGGGGGCACGTTGCGCAACGAAACTTCAGTTCTGAGAGGGCCACACCTGCTTGTAATGATCTTCAGAGAGTTGCACGTCTTACATGAGTGCCACGTACGTCTCCTAATTGAGCTTGCTGTACTTCAGCCTCTTTTGCCTCCTTGGCAATCACAGCTTGCCTCGGAGTGCGTGCCGAATGTTATAACGTCAAGCTTCATGTGCGTGTTCATCAGAGACTTGCGGGCTCAGCCAAACACAGTTTGCGCCGTACGTGCAACCTTCTCTTTGCTGAGCACATAAACAACAGTGCAAGCCATGTGAACCTGGACCGGTTACAGGTTATCAGCGAGATTGCATGAGAATGCAGACTGTCGCCCCAAGGCGCCGAAGGTGCGGTTTTCAGAGCTGTGCCTAGCAGCAGAGGGAAAGAAGGCCATGCAGGAGGCAGCGGGTTGGGGAGGAGGGGAGGAAGTTTCGGTGAGTTGAAGTCGAACTGACGCCGCTTTTAGGTTATATATATATATATATATATGTGTGTGTGTGTGTGTGTGTGTGTAGAATGCCTCCCTGATTCAGACACTCGGTGGTTGGATCTCCGTCACCGGTTGAGCCGTCATTCGGGTTGAGCTCGGGCCTTGAGGTTGGCCCGAAAAAAAGAAGCTCGGAGGTCCAGGGTTGAAGTTGGGATACAGAGTGCACTGCAGCGGTGCCAGCGTAGCCTTGAAGAAAGCACGTATCCGAGAGAGATCTGAACTTGCAAGATTTGCACCGACCACCGACGGATAACATGGTTTGCGGCAATCATGCATGTGGTACAAGTCGTGATCCTGCTTCTTGCCTCAGCAAACAACTCCTGCACAGTTCGCAGTGCCTTTTGTGGCGTAAGCTTTCGTCCTCCTTAAGTTGACCCAACTGGCCCAAGTTTGTCAATCACAGCAGGCCTGGTAGGCAGCCAGAATCTCATTCTCTGGCACTGCCAAGGCCTTTAAGTACGAGTTCTTGACCCTAAGCTGCATGCGGAAAGCAATCGAAGAAAGTTCGGTTCCTGGACTCGTGGCAAGAGTCGTACATCAATGCCATCAAAGTTAAGTTTTGAGATGTTTTGAGTGTCTTAAACACCGCAAAGCCCGAAGAGCCAAGCTTTGGGAGCTACAGTGAAAATCCTTTTTTGCACCTTAAGCGCAAAGCCATATACCTGTTTAGTTTGCCTACCCGGAGAAGAGTTGCAACGTGAATGTTCCCAACTATTGTTGTTAGCTCATGATCACTTCCTTGCGGAGACCAAGCTCAGAGACTCAGAGATCCGCCCTAAAATAGTTCTGAGCACAAGGACGGAGATCCAGCAGAAGACCTACGAATCCATCCGTGGCGGTGCAGAGGTTGTGGCCCGGGCAAAGACAGGCAGGGTATGAGGGAGGATGGAGGCTTATAGTCTCATGGTAATTCTGAGTGGGATTGGGCCAACCTTGCCCGTGAGTGGACAGGTTCTGGCAAGACGCTCAGCTTCCTCCTCCCCTGCCTGGATAGGCCGATGCAGGGACGTAGGTTGTAGAGGCCTGCTTTGGCTTCGTGTAGTTCAGTTGCTCTGACCTGAGAGTTCCCTTCCTCTACGAAACCTCAGTTTCGGACTCACACCGGAGCCATGTCATGTCTCCGGACAAACATCAACGACCGCTGCACAGCGAAAAGGCTTCCAGTAGCATCTGGTAAAGTTGGCACACGAGATGAACCTGGCGTGCAGCAAGGCCGGTGCCTGTCAAATGCTCCCTGGAGCGAGACGATGCTGCGGGTCGGGGTGCCTCCCGGCCCAAGCCCCCTGCACCCTCTTTGCTGTGTAGAAGACGACTTTACGAAGAAGAAGAGAGCCAGACCCCGTCCACGTGCGCGCGCCGACACACAGGAGGCATAGTTCACCCCAAGGATTAACCATGTGCTGAGCATCCCATGGTTTCAGGCAACAGGCTCAAGAAGAGTTTGAAGGGTGTAAGTCTAGGTTTGCAGGGTTGTGGCTTAGGACCCAATGTTCATGACAATCGCAGGCTGCACAGCCAGCCGGTCGTCCCAGGCTGGAGGGTCAGAGGGTTGCTGCGGGTCCTAGCATGACGCAGCTGTCAAGCAGCCTGAGGTTCAGCATAAGCTACAAGCCTAAAGTGCATCATAAGCTGCTACAAGCCTGCCAGAAGGTCAGCTGTTAGGAAGAACCTAGATGGGAAGAGACTCCAGCCCTCCAGCCCAAGTCGACGATTCTGTAAGGAGAACTGGCACTCCTGGTTCTTACACCGGTTCGGGAGCTGTCGATGCAGGCTCTCGTTTCTCAGATAGTAGGGCCGAGTAGTTGTTATTGTTTGGCCCGTTGCTGGCAATATCCGTGACTAGCAGGAGAGACTGTGGGCGCGCTAGACTCACACGGTTCCATGCGCAGAAGGTCGCTGCTGAAGCAGAGAAGCTGACGAAGTACTACAGCAGCTGCAGCACCTTGTTGCGGTCTTTGACTTCTGCTGTTGTGGGAGCTTGTTTGGACGTAGGTAGGTCTACGCGGGTGTGCAGATCACGAACAAGCTGCAGTGGTGGAGTTGCACGGAGTAAGGTATGGGGGTCTTGAGCTTTGCTTGTCGATTTGGTTTCTGTGGAGTGTTGAGGCATGTTGAGGCCTGGGATTCAGGATCATTTCCGTTTTCATGGGTGTCTTGCTGCCACGTGTTTCAGCAGACCTACCAAGCAATGCGCGGGAGTGGAACTAAGCGGCCTTGTGAGGTATGGTTTGCATGACCGGCGGCGTTCCCTGGGAGGAGGCAGCATCATCTTTGATTCCATGCTGCCGGTAGGGAGTGTCGTTGCAGTCCGTGAGAGGCCATGTTAGGCGCGATCTGGTGGTTCGAGCTTGACCGACGCACCAAAGCCCAGACTCCAGAGCATGGAGATGTACAACATATTAGTCAAACCTGTGCACTTTCTTCGGACTTTCGCGTGGAAAGATTGGAAGTGCTGAGTGTCCAGGACCTGGAGTCGTTGACTGCAGCCAAAGGAACTGTGCGCCTTGGATCGCCTTGAACGTGTGGAGGTCGTTGCTTTGCCTGCCTCGCTTTGAAACTGTTCTGTCGCTTCGACAAGTTGGTGTTTGGGTCTCTGTTTCGGAACCAGAGCGGAAACAGTGCCGCGCCTCCTGTCTTGTCTGTCTTGTCTCCCTTCTTGAGTCCTTTGAAACCAGAGAATTGCCTCGGAGCTTGGGAGGTTCAGACGTTCGTGCGGCGGGTTTGAACCCGATGTAGCTGCCCATGTTCTCTTGTAAGGCTTTGGGACTTCAGGGTGCCGACAACCTCTGCAGATCCGCAGGCCCTAAATTTCAAGTCCCGGAGCGTATCCAATCTGAACACACCCGCGCACGCAAAGTGCTCCGCAACTGCCCCCTTTGCGTCCACAAATCATCAAAGGGCTTGCCGGCTGACGAAGTGAAAAACACGGTGCTTCTCAATATCACAATATTTTAGTGTATACCTTCTGAAAATGCAAACCAAATCAGTACCAACATACGGCTTTTGAAGATACTACCTTTTTCATCGTCAAAATATTTGACTTGTTCTTTGAGAACTAATTTGGAGCATATTAATATGATTTTTGCCATTACATCTTCATGGTATTCAATTTCGCGGGAGCATCAATTTCGTGATTGTCTTTGCAAGAATAATATGGAAATCGAAATATGTAAATATGTGATATTCAATGTTTATGATGCAAGTGACATTGGTCGTGTAAATTTTGGCAAGATACAGTGGGTTAAAACTGCTTAACTGCTTAATGGATGGGTATGATACTCGAAGAAGTATGAAATAGATCTCGACTATTGTGAGTTATTCTTTATCATGTATGATAACAAAAGGGGTTTTTTGTGAAATAGCAAGCCATCAGAACTTGTTGAATATTCTTGAGAATACAGATTGTCATTGTCATTAGGCTAGGCCAATGCATAACTTGCATCAAGCCCTAAACACCCCATTGATTGAGCAGCAAGGCAGGCACCTGTACCAAAGGTTCTTAGGGACTGGGTGGGTCACCTTTAACCTTTTTGGGTACATAGAATCCTACTTGGGGTGTTCCCCCTTATACTAACTTGAGGACGCCAAGCAATTGTGCGTCCGAGCCCTTAAACTTACTCTTGACTGGCTTTGCAAGGGTGTATTGACAGGCGCCTAGCTTCAAGGCTGGGACCTTTGAGGGTCCAAAGGTCCATTTTAATCGGATTTCTAATATTTCTATCGTGATTTTCAAATAGCATTTCAATCAATTTCAAGTTACTTTTTCCAGGTTGTCTGCATGCTCAGACCCTAAATGCGAAAACATTGGACTCCCCCACGTTTCCCAAGCCGAAAGCCACATGGGCCTCCACGGCAAGCTGGCAACGATGTTCTGCTGTCTGTGCGCGGGAGTTTAGAGGACTTCAGCGGACGTTTCAATGGGTTGCAGGGGGCTTGTCCCAAAGGTGGTCCCAGGGTTTTTTCCAAGGGAAGTCGGCAGCCGAGACTAGTCCTTGGTATGCTTGTTCCACATGCTTCAGCCGTTGAACCAGTTTTGGCCTTGGGATCGTTGCTTCCAAGGATCCTGGTTGCCACCCCAGGCCGGCTACAAAGCCACGCCTCTTGCCGGCACCGCCGTTTCCCGTAGATGTAGAACCAGCCAGTTATGGAACTCGTACATATCGTCTTAAGCAAGCCGTTTCAAGCTCAAGAAGCCCGCAAGACCCTGAAAAGGTGTCAGAAGGTTGCTAGAGAGTCTTCGACTTGGATCTGTACCTGGCATCTTCAAGGGCTTCAGGTTTCATCAGGTTTCATCAGGTTTGTGATTCCCGGCTTCTTAACAGCCAAAGGCGGCGAAGACGGAGGGCTTCGTGGATCGCTTGAGCAAAGTTCAGCTGCTTGGCATTAGAGCAGCAGGGGCGGCATTGTGGGGGCACGATGTCGACCTGTACATGTGCAGTGTAATGGCGTGGTCATTGCAGGGCGCATACTCGGCCAATCCTGCCCTGCCAAACAATGCCCCTGATTAGGCAAGCCCCAAAGAGAGTGAGGGAGACTTTCGACAGCGCCTAGAGGAGTACGGACCCGTGCTCAGATTCTACAATGTAAATCGATGCGGTGAGGATCCTCGTTTTGGATGAGGTGGATCAGTTGGCCAGCGTCTCTAGGCGCACCCAGTGAATCCTTGAACAAATCAATCACTAGCATAGGCACATGCTTGTTCTGCACTGCTCACGACGTCTCAAGGGAGCTGCCTGGCCCTACGTCCGCTAACCCATTGTACCTGAGCATCTTCAAAGAATCGTCCCCCCCCTTCCCGTTCCACCAACGCCCCAACCCAAAAATTGCATATGAATCCCAGGATGTCTTCCGGCAAGCGACGCTGGACTCGGGGGCTTATCCTTTTTCCAAAGTTAGGGCCGGCTGATGTTTGGCTGCCCTGATTGCCTGCACGAGTATCTCTATCGGAAGAAGACAGCGTGGCTGACCTGGCTGTAGAACAACGTCGGAACCCTCCCTCTTTAAGGGAACTTCAGTTCCGGAGCGTGAAGTGCTAAGTGTACACACGAGCTGAGACAGGGCGTAGATCAGGATGTTCGTTGTGACCTTCCGAACTTGCAGTCTGTGAAGCAACACTCTGGAGGACATTGTGAAAACCCTTCCAGCAGCAAGCCATCGCCAAAGCCTGCTTCTCTGGTTGCACAGGGTTGGGACAATAAGCAGATACCAGGGCTAACAGCTACCAGGGTGCTCAGACCTGAAGGCGTCAGCCCCATCGAGCTTTATGAGCAAGATATGTTTTTTGAGGGCTTGTAGCTGCAAGCTAGAGCCGTGCTCCAAAAACAAGAAACGAGTGCTTTGGTGATGAGGAGATCGCTGAACTAGCCCTGGCCACAAAGCGACCAGGAGCCGAACTAATTAGGGTGTGGACGGCAACATCAAACATCATAGCAGCCCCCTTCGAGGTTCTACTCTGCCACCATGGGCGATGCTGTCACGAATCTAGTGCCCTGTCGGCATGCAAAAGCTATCAAAAGCTTTTCGCTGCACTACAGAGTGTTGCCCGTCTACTTTCATGCAAAGACCCCGCATCAAGGCGCATTTTTGCTTCGACTCGCACAGGTCAGCCAGATTGGCAAACCGGATCACATGTATGTGGATGTGGCTTGGCTTTCATTGGTCTTCTCTTGCGCTTAGCACTCTGCGAGCGTGATCTGGTGCGGTGGTGGCACTTTGCCACTTGGCTGTCCACGGCGTCCTCCGTCCTCCGTCAACGTTTCTGAGTCTATCTGTATCTGATTGACACTGCGACCGCAGTCTTGTACTGCACTTCTAATGACTGGCCCTCAGGAGATGTGAAGCAGAGAATCCTGCTTCGCATTCCTGATGCTGCATGGTTTAGTAGTGTGTTTTTTTCAAGGAAGGTTCTGGCCTTGGAAGTTGCACCTAAAGTACGAAAGTCAGCCCTAGCTTCAAAGCGATTTCTCGTTGGTGGGCAGCGGGTCGCAAGGTCATTCACTCTGATGATGCCTTGGTGCCTGAGCATATCTGCCAGACCTATGCTGCCTTGCCCTCAGATGTGTGGAGTCGTGAAAGCCATCACCGATGCCACCACCGAAGCCTTCAACTGCCCAGAAACCTTTACTCACTCATCCTCCAAATCTCTTGCTTTCCAGGTCTTGCCAACAGAACGTATGACGGAATGACTCCTGGACTTTATCAGTTGTGCATAGTTGTGCATAGTTGTGCCATGTGCCGGGGGCCTTTGGGATACGTTCAGATCGCTCAAGGTTCGTTTTAACGGTTTTGGGCGGTTTTGGGGGATCTTAGGGGTTTGGGGATGGGTTCCGACTAGTTCCGACCTCATCGGCAGTCTGAGACAGGCCTTTGGGCATCCCTCACGCTGGCGGCCGCAGAGGTGGACTCAAAAGTCGCCGCTCGATCTCATGTTCGATTTCCTTGTTCTCACAAAATTTGTGTGTGTCTAAAGTCCCAAAAAGTTTCAAAGAACAAATGTGAAAGAAGAAAGCAGCCCTGGAGCCCCTCAGGTGGTGATCTTCATGACGGGCCGTATCGCTGCCTACTATGCCGAGGCTTTTCGGAAGTCAGGCGAGCCTCTTGTGGACTCTTGGATTTCAGAGTTTGTCCGATCTTGAGTCTTGAGCTTGGCGGGCTTTGGCGGGTGGAATCGATCTTCGTAGAATGCGCCAAAATCACCGGCCCTGCTCGGGGCGCTCAGCTTTTAAGACCTGAACTATGTTGAGCAGTCTTGTGCAGCTGCCTGTGCAGGCACTGACCTGCCGGTTTTCGAGATTCATGCGCGCAGAAAGCAGAATCAGAGGACCTTTGAGACGCAGCTAGAACCGACACTTCTGCTGGGTGTGGTGCACTTCTGCGTGCCAGCGTGAGATGCGCTAAGTGTCTTCCTCGGAATCCTTGGAGTGCGAGCATTTGCCGCTGCATTTTCTACTTCAACTTGTACCGAGCTCCGCAGCCCAGCCAAAGTAGCTTTTGACTGCAGCTGCGCGGCCAAGCAGGACGGAGGAGTCTGAGCGCTTTCGCGGGGCAGCGAGCGGGGTGCCCTGCGGCGGCGGTTCAATTGGGGAGGGTTGTAGGGTTTAGGGCCCTTAGGCACTTGGTCCTCGTGAGTTATTGTTGGTTCGCGCTCTGGTTCTGAAAGCTTTGAGAGCAAGTCGTTCGCCGAATGTCCTTGGCATGGGAATTCCATGCATGGATTTCGCCTTTGGTGTCGCTTGACCCGCAACCTTTCATCTAGGTCCTGCACTCCTCCCTGCGATCTTTCCATTCCTGTAAACATGACCTCGGAAGCATAGCACCCTGCGTGTCCTTGGAGACCGAATGAGACAAGCATGGTCAAGGCTTTTCACCAGCGACGTTTCCGCCCGTGGTTTGGACTACCCAGGCCTGTTGATTTTTGTGCAGAGTTCCGCACATGCTATTTTGCTCCATGCCTTCCTTGCTTTGATAATGAAGCGCTTGCGCGGACTGGGAGCCGGCCCAAGCCACGGGACGTGCGTGTCGGCGGTCCAAGCGTTGCGCCTCGGAGGTTCCGCATGGATGGGGTGCAGATACGGAAAACAAACTGCAGGCCCAGGAAAAAGACGCCGCGGAGCAGCCGACCCATAAACCCAAAACCTTGAACATCCTTAAACTGATTGCGTACGTGAGCTTGGAGGACGTGTGGGGTTGCTGGGAAGATTTGTTGAGCAAAGTGATGGTTCTCCGACCGCGGTTTTCGGGGGTCCTCATGGTGCCCATAAGAGTCGGGCCCCAAGTCAAATTCGCACCAAGAACAGCTTCTTCACACTTTCCACCCCTCCCCGCACGACACCAGATTGCCCCAACCAAATCTGGCAGCTCTACACACAGGGGAGGGGCGCGGGGTGGCCAGACGTTTGGGGCGCAGGGGGAGGGACAGGGGGAGGGAGAAGGAGATGGATTCTGGTGCGGAGCCCGAGGGGAACAGGGTCGAATAAGCAGATTTCGTGACAGCAATTTTCCAGGTGTCACGCATGTGATACAGATGGGAGCAGCCCATTCCAAAGAGGCCTCGCGCCAAGATGCGGAAGCTACTCAAAGGTTGTGCTAGACCGCTGTAGGTCGTAACATTCAGCATGAAGTTCATTTCGGGTGGTTTCTGTCTTATGTGACGTATGTGGTTGCACAAGAGGCTCTCAGGCTTCATTGCTAGTCCATGCATTTCCAACCACACAGCATTGCACGAAGCTCCAGGAAAGATTCCAGTGTTGGTTGCTCCCTCGAAGCGTTTGAACCTCGAGCCTTTCTGTTGTTGCCATCAGATTGCAGGCCCCGTGAAACCCCGCGAAGCCCCAAACGCCCTTTTTGTCGGCATATGCCGACGTGTCTGCCCAAACTTTTTTCGCAGGGAACCCAGTGAAGCCACGAAAAAGCAGACCCCCTTCTTCCATTCCATCCGTCTATCCAAACATGTCTTTTCTCGCCAATCGGCAAAACACAGCGAAAACTCTTCCTGACCTCCCGAAGTAATCTGAGGAGTATGTGCATCGCCTTGGCCGTACCGGCCGCGCGGGCCGCGAGGGCCAAGGGCTGCTGGGCAAAAGGAGTTCCAGGAAGTTTCGGGCGAGGTGCTTCGTGTTTGGCAAATGATTGGGGCTATTGGTGCATTGAAAGTCATTGGGTGTTGAAGGCCCGAATTCGACCAGAGCTGTTCTTGCCCTCGGCCTCAAGGTTGCTCCTTCTCCACGACTTCGAGCAAGGCCGGAGTTCTTTCGCAACCTTTGGGAACTCGGGAGTGTAGTGACTAGGCCCGATAAGGTTGAGACAAGTTGAGACTTCAAGATGGCAAGCACATTCGGGAGAGCTGAGCGCCCGCCCCCCCCCGCCCCCACAGGAATGCCGCAACGTGAGGGGCCTCAACGTTTTGGGATTAGCAAGCTCAAGTGCGGATCCTGCTCCCACTTGCAGGTCACCGTGCAGACAGTGAGGAATTAAATGGCATTCGTGAAAGACACTGAAATCGGGTGACGGCACTTGTAAGAGGCAGCACTCTGCAGTAATTTCGGAAGTGCATGTGTGCACAACTCAGGGTACACAATCTGGGTGCGGGCAAGAACCAGGTCTTTGTTCTCGCGGCTTGCTGGTTTAGGAAATCCTCCGACTTTCTCACCCACCCCAAACCCCTTCCGGCGAGTCGTGCTTCAACACACAGCCTTTTTTACCCGCCCGTCTCCCAGAACAGAACAGAATCCAGCCGCAACATATGGATGTCGTACTTAGTTCCTGCAGTGGCGCCGATCACACTCTCAACCTGCCCAGAAACTCAACACCGCCGAACTTTCACTTTAGGCAAAATAAGACTCTAAACCCCAGAAACCCGGAGCCAGCAAACCGCTGCCAGGCTTTCTGGCCGACGTGGCGGACCTGGGCCTCATTGAGGCTCCAGTACCCACTACGAAGGAGGCGCGGAACATCTTGGTGCCCAAGAATCCCAAACCCGAGACCCCTGCCAGAATCGTACAAACTCTGTACGGAATATTGCAGATGCGTACAGGAATCCGGAAGGGTGGGGGGGTGGGGGGTGGCATCGACGGTTTGGGCTCCTGGCTGTCCTAAGGGGAGACGATGCAGCACTCGCTTGCCTCTCACCAAGATCTGCCAAATCTGCACCCGTGAACTGCTCAACTGCCTACTCTCCACTTAGCATCCACTTAGCCCTAAGTATTCATCCCGAGTCAGACAGTTTAGGTGATGCCAGACTTTGTCAGCATGCCCATCGCCAAGAACGTCAAGGCTCAAGCCTACTACTCTCGGCCACTCGGCCGACAGGGTTTAACTCAAAACTCTCCTCGGTTATCCTCGGATGTCAGGCAGGCATTCCAATAGAAAGAATCGCACAGACATTCTGTGTGAGAACGCGTGGGATCTGCCTGCAAGGCTGCAAGCCTCAGTTTGGGATGGTTTGGGAGTCTAAGGCTTGTAGCCTTGCCCAAAACCCCTTACTGATATCTGCGAGGCGACGCCCGCACACGCCTGTAGGCTTTCGGGGACGGTAGGTCAGTTTCGAAACATTGGGTTGATGGTCGGCGTGCACAACATCAAGGTGCGACCTCACGTACATATGCAACTTGCTGAAGCACACACAGACACACACGAGCGAATGTACACATGGGTGTGTGCACAAAGGTGTATAGGCAGATGGAGCTGATCTAAGCACGATTGGTGCCATTGTCGCTCAGAGCCTCAACGTCTCACATCGATCTGAGGATTTCCAAGCCTGGCAAGCAACTGCAAGTTCACCAAAGCCTTAGTCTGAAAGCCGAACCCTTCTAAGGACATGCAAGCTATTGCAAGTTGGTGGTAGGCTTTCCGAACCCAAGGATCAACCATGTAATGCGCAACTCGAGCCTCAGCAAGCTGGAAATCATGCGTGAGGCCAGGAGGAAGGGTGCAAATGAAGGGCGCAGTTGCTTACTTTTGCTTTAGCTTTTGCTTTCGTTGCCGACAGCGGGCTTCCAGAGCTTTTGCAAAGGTATCCGTTCACTCAGCATGCCGCCGAGTCGAGAACCAACCAAGCTCGAAACTCCACACTCTCTTCTCACGCGAGGTACCGTGCGACCCGTGAGTTTTTGGAATTAGTCTTGCTCAGTGACCACGCCCACAATCAAGAACCAAAAGCCGAACGCAGTTCACCAAGACGACCTGCTCAGGACGCGAAGAAAGCTGCACCTGTAGGGTAGGGTTCAGGGAGGGCTACGGTCAGGGTTGAAGGTGTTTTGGATCTGGGGCCTATCTAACTAGGGTTGAGGTTTACTATTTGGGGTCAGAGTCTCTAGGGTTAGGGTGAGTAGGCTTAGTTGTGATGTGGAAAAAGGAGTTTTGAGACTTAGGATTTTCAAGCCAGGTCTTGTGTGGATCGAGTGACCAAACCGCCATTCCAACCTGGAAAGGCAAAGCGTTTTGCCGCGTCGATCGGGGCGCTGGATGAGGTTCTGCCCACACATGGATAGTAGTTTGCAAGGGGGGGGAGGCTACAAGCCAACTGATCCAATTTCCATGCTTTTGCGAGGGACGCCCGCCGGAAATCACGCGCGAGAATGCGGAGAAGATGGGCGCAGCATGGCGGTTCCTTTTTGCGTGGCTTGCAGTGGGGTGGCAAGTGGCTTCGTAGATGCAAGGCCTCAGGACCCACCTTCATGTCAGACAAGGCCCAAGGTTCAGATCATTGCTTGAACCAGTCGCAGGAGAGAAAAACGCAATTAGAGCTTGTTCAAGTTACTCCGGATCGCTTCTTCTTCAGGGGTTGTGATTCAGTAGTGGAGCCTGGAGGGTAGCTAGGGTAGTTGTAACTTGTTTTTGCTTAGTTGTAACTTTTGTTTTTGCTTAGTCGTGACTTTTGGTACCTGGACTGTTGGCACACGCAGTAAATATAAGGGAATTGGGTCAACCCCAATCAAACTCAAAAAACCCCTAAACCCTAAAGACCCCTAAACCCTAAATCCTTAAAAACCCTAAACCCCAACAACCCTAAACCCTCAACACCCTTGAACCCTAAACCCTAAAACCTGGCCCTAAACCCAAAGCCCTAAACCTCAAAAGCCCGAAACCCTAAACCCTAATAACCCTTAAACCCTAAAAGCCCTACGCTCTAAACCCTCAAACCCCTGAGCCTAAACCCCAAAAACCTGGCCGTAAACACTAAAAAGCTAAACCTTCATAAACCCTAAACCCTAAACCCTAAAAACCCCTAAACCCTAAAAGCCCTAAGCCCTATACACCCTAAGAACCCCTGAGCCCTAAACCAAAAAAACCCGCAACCCCAAAAAACTCTAAGCCCTAAACCCCAAAACTTAAAAATCCCTAAGCCCTAAACCCTAAAAGCCCCTAAACATAGGCATGTTTCTTCCGTTCTCATCATGCGAGCATTTGTGTTTGCAAATTGGGTGGGGGGGGCTGCGACCCCCCAACCCCCCCGCTTTATTCTCTTACGAACCCATCATGTGCGTGTTGTGTTTGCAAATGGGAGGGGGGGCTAAAAATCCCTAAACCCTAGACCCCAAAAACACCCTCAGCCCTAAAAATCCCTAAGCCCTAAAACCCCTAAACCCTAAAAACCACGAACTTTATTCTTTTTCGAACCCATCATGCGAGTGCTGTGTTTGCAAATGGGAGGGGGGGCTAAAAATCCTTAAGCCCTAAACCCCAAAAAACCCTCAACACCTAAGCCCTAATAACCCCTATAGACAGGCACCTCCCATAGTTAGGACAGGGGCCTATAACCCTAAACCCTAAACCCTAAGCCCCCCGGGAGCCCTAAGGGATAAGGCCCAAGCGCGAGAAGCCCCGCAAGACTGCAAGTTGCAAGACTTGAAGCCTGTAACGGACTGCATATGCTGTAATTCACAGCATTCGCAGTTTGAGGCCGAAGAAAAGGTTACAGGCAAGCAAGGGTTTTGGCACCCCTCGTCGGGAAACGGCACGGACAAAGTTACGAGTAAGCAAAAAAAGAAGTTACAAGCAAGTAAATGTAGCAAAACACAGAAAGTTACAGGTAAGCAAAGAATAACGTTACAACTAAGCGTGCTTCCGCCTGGAGCCTCATCGTTTAGCCCGAGGATGCCTGCCTTGACTTTGGTCGATCCTTCTCTATTTCGAGAGAGTTTGTCGGAGTGTTTGTCATTTGAAACTGCGTGCCCAGGTAGCCGACATCGAGGATCCTTGCGTCTACGTCGTGGCAGCGCCGAGAGAGTCGTAGGATGTTGCAAATTGGAGTGATGTGAGGATGTTGGTCTACGTGCTCATGTTGTAAATTGATATATATATATATATATATACAGGAGGGAGAAAGTTGGTTTAGGAGAGCTGGCCCGCGTTTGTGTAAGTGGTCGTTGCATAACTGGGGCTCTGCGGAGTTCTGATGCCTTTATTCCTTACAGGAAGTTCATGATGTTGCCGGAAGCAGATCGACCCGAAGGGCCGGCGCTTTCACCTGCTTCCTGTGGCAGCGAAAAGGATGTGGCACCGAACGGGAACCAAGGGAAGAAAGACCCAAGTTGCCCAAGTTCCTTGGATGTTCCGGGCATCCACCGTCGGGATGGGATGAAGAGATCGAATCTGAAGTCCGGGATTCCCATGTGCAAACTATGTCAGCATGGATTGCTTCGATGCCGAAGCTTGAGAGTAGTTCAGGAATTCGGCATTCTCAGAGATATTCCATGAGCCCAAGTTGGGGTTGTTGGAGATACCCTACAGCCACCCATCAATCGACACATGAGCTTCCAAGCAGGGTTGGTGGTTGGATGCGGTTGGCTAGTTTGTCGGATGGCTTCCAGCAGTGCAATATTTCAGGACGTGTGGATGCCCTCCCAGCTCAAAAGAATGCGACAGGCTTGGGGGACTGTGGCGGAGTACTGGTGGTGCCCAGGGCTGCATTCGGAGAACCAAAGACGTAAGCCTACATGGTCTGCTGGGATGCTGCCATCACAGAAGTCACGGATTCTAGCACAGTTTCATTCTGTTGAGGAGTGGGGTTCATCAGTACTTCTGTGCGCCTGACAGAAAACTCTCTTGGACTTGTTTGAGCATCCTTTGTGTGTTCTTCAGCGTAGCATAGCCGAAGCAGCAGTTGCCCTCAGAACAGTGAACTGGAGGCAAACTATGGCAAACTCATCCCCAAGTGGTAGGTACTCTGTTTCGTCAGCGTCTGCGCCGCCTGGCAATTACACCTTCCCCTACCACGACTCTTGGCTGAATCTGTGTCATGGTCCTCTTGAGGTTTAGTAAAGTGGTTGCCGCCCTTGAGATGGCAACCCAATTTCGCGAAGACAAGGATCGACCATGACAGGCTCCCCTTCAATCCACCCCGAAGCCTAAAGCCTGAAGCTGTCTAAAGAGTCTAGAGACAGTCTAAAGCGTCCAAAGCCTACAGTGCAAACCCCAAACCCTAAACCCTGCTGAGGATCCTATGCGTGGTTTCAGGCCCGGAGCTCAGAAACATCGGGGAACATGTAGGCTTTAAGCTGCAAGAGGCAGCGGCAGGCGACGGTGTGCGTTTGGCATCCTTTCTGATGCTCCTTCTCCCCTTCAATCTTGCCTTGCCTCAAGCAGGACCGAATTCGAGAAGCCTGCCGTTTCATCGTTTCGGCGTGATCCTCGAAAACGCGAATGCCTTCACACAACAACCGCGTAAGGTATACTTAGCATACTTGGGCCATGTCCATGTGCATCGTTAACAATTGTTGCTTCTTACGCGGTGTTCACCTCCGGTCACCAAGCTTGAGCACTGTGTGCTGCAAAAACAGCATAGTATAAACGCTAGTTGTTCCACCCATCGGCTCCAGGTGGAAGAGCCCCCATGATGATGCCCTGGACTCCATCGCTCGCAGCCACGAGGAGAATTTAAGGGCCCTGCCGTGCTGTTGGGAGTTGAAGGATGTTGAAGGTGCAGAGGGGCGCCGAAGGTTTCGAGCCGAAGGGCGCTTCAGGTCTCGAAAGGCTGTTGTCTCACTTGGAAGGACTACGGAGCGAAGACGCCTCTGATGGAGTTGCGGCATGAGGCGTTCATGCCAGGAGCCCACTTTTTGGGATCAATCCGGAAAATTGTGCGTTCAGGTGCTTTGGAGGTGTAGTTTGGGGTGCTCAACAGATTTGCGCAGCCGAGGCGTGAGTTTCGGCACCTCTTTCGCTACCCTGGGGGCGCCAGCTCAGTCTCTTGTTTCTCGACGTGAGTTTCAAATTCAGGGGCCTTTGGCGATCAGATAAAGTTCAGGCTGAAGTACGAGATCACTTCCAGGGCTTGGTGACTCGGTATTTCGACTTGATTGTTCAAGTAGGAGCGGGCGGTGAAAGCCTGCAAAATCACCAGCATATGTGAGCACCACCGCCGGAAAATGGACTGCTGCCCACCCAGGATCTCGCACGTTCAGATGTGCATTTTGCGCATTGAGGGTTCCTTTTCCAGGAATTTGGGATGCTGATTTGGGTATGCCGTAGTCTTGACCCGAAAAAGTCCGGAGATCCTGCCGTCTGCCCACACCCGCACAGGGAACAAGCAGAAGCCGCCGCCCCCGGTTCGACGCATTGCGGTGCGGCGGGGGGTCGGGTATGATGCCGGATGTCTGCAGATGCAGGGGAAAGTGGTCGCGTTTGAGGATATCAGCCTTTAGGCTGTGCTAGTTCTAGTGCACTACATTCCAGGATTCCAGGCTGTTTTCTCTACTTGCATTTCTTCTGCGAATCATAGTGCCATGCCAACCTTGCACCAGAAGTCTATTAGCATGCGCTGGCCGCTGGCAGTGCAGGAGCCGGAGCCAGAACACAACGAGTCCGGCCGACGTGGTTGCTGAATGATTGCAAGTCATACATGTGGCTTGCAGATGCTCGCTGAGTTTCGATGAGTTTGGCGATGTTTGCATGGGAAATGCAGTTCAATCCCAGCGCTGTGAATTCTGCCGCCAGGCAGATTACGATTCTCTGAGCCGACGGCGCTCTGTATCCAGTGATGGAAAGGGACCAGGGGACCGGAACCCTGACCTTTCGTCTCACTTCTCACACGTGCATCTGGACCTTGGAGATGCGGCCTCCAGGCTTTAGCCCCCAAAGTCCCCCCAAAAATCAAAATTTGTCAGGCTTTTAAGACGTTGGTCCTCCTCCACGAAGCATCTGCCAGAACTGGTACATGGCAACATCCCTGCTACTGTGCAGGGCACAGCCCCTCTTCTACTTTTGCAGGCATCCCAGTTGCAGCTCTACTCCTTGTCCCCCAAACGGGGCGTGGATACTCCCCGACAGCGCAGGCTTTAGTTTGAAAGATGGCTTCTCAAAAGCATTTCGACTGGATAAGAGTCAAGATGCATCTTGCGAGGTATCGGCTGCAGAACTGCTCTGCGAAGGCATGTCATCAACAAATATCTCTCGCACACTTTTGTGTCAGGCCTCCTCTCACGAACCCTGGTGATTTCCATCCATTTTCTCGTTCAACCGTCTGCACGCTTTCAAGGGTCTGGGATTGGCCCCCAGGCGGCGGGTCTTCTCGTATAGCATTTTGATGAGCCTTTGGTGTTTCAGGTGAGTTGTCCTAGGTGGGATTAGAGGGATTAGTTTTCGGACTGGTGGGTTTGGATGGCCTGCTGTCCATATTGTGTGACGGTGAGCGGATCTCGAGGTTTCGCTGCAGGATTTGCGGGTCGAGGTTGTGCATTTTTGCCCAGCCCCCCGTAGGAGATTGCCTAGGGCCCATCGCCGCTGAAAAGACTCATGGCATGACAGCGCATGAAGTCATTAAGGCGATGCTTGAATGCCCACGAAATTTGCGCTTGGCATCCCATAGCATGCTTCCGTACGGATAAAGGCCCCCCGACATGGAGTCGAGCCAGCAGCTAGCCATTAACCGCCCCTTTGCATGGCCACACCCACGAACTCCAAACCAAATAGCCCGCGCACGATCCCTTCCCCAACCCATGCCAACTTGGAGCACTGCGCCGCGTGTACAGGCCAGGGGAGGGTCTGTGTAACTCAGGCTAGTACATCGCCCCCCCCGCAAATAAAATCTGTTTGCAGGAATGGCCGCAGATGACGCCGCCGCAGAGGTCTCGCCAGGCGCGACGTTTGGACCGCCGGGTGACGAGCGCCTTGGCAAGGAATCCCTGAGTCTTCTGTCCACCAGAACCTCTGCTGCAGTCCAGCAGATGCCGAACACGTTTACAGTAGGACTTGGGAATCAGTGCCAATGTCAGATCTGATTGAGCCATGCCCCTGAGCTCGGCGCCTGAGGTACGAGATCGGAAAACAGCTGGGCAATGGAGCCGCTTCGAGAGTCTTTGCTTGCAGGCGCATGTTTGGGCTTAGCCCTGCCTGCAAAAGAGATCTGTGGACTGTAAGCACTCACCCCAAACATCCCCAAACCCAAACGCCAAACCTCCTCAGGGGCCGTTTGGGGCCTGTCAGCCTAGTCGAAGCGAAGACTGCCAGATCCAGGCGTCGGAACACCAACGAGCAGCTAGCAGTCAAAGCCGTGGACCTGCGACGCTTGTGCCATTCAACTGCATGTGTCGGACAATTGCAGCAAGAATGCCCCCAAGGTGTGGCATCATGCGCCATGAAGTAGTGCCGTCAGAAGGTGCTGGCGTACGGTCAAAACTTATGATAAGAAAGGTTCGAAGGTCCACCAGAGTCTGGGACATTTCTTAACCAGGCAGATGTATTAAGAAAGGTAGATTTGAGGCGAGAGTCTTGAAAACATTTCTTATTCAACCTGACCAACCCTTTGCTTTCTCCGCCCTCCAGAGCCCTCCAGCCCTCCAGCCCTCCAGCCCTCCAGGATTAAGCCCTCCAGCCCTCCAGCCCTCCAGCCCTCCAGGATTAAGCCCTCCAGCCCTCCAGCCCTCCAGCCCTCCAGCAGCCCTCCAGCAGCCCTCCAGCAGCCCTCCAGCCCTCCAGCCCTCCAGCCCTCCAGCCCTGTAGTTTTTTTTAAGCCCTCCAGCCCTCCAGCCCTCCAGCCCTCCAGCCCTCCAGCCCTCCAGCCTCCAGCCCTCCAGCCCTCCAGCCCTCCAGCCCTCCAGCCCTCCAGCCCTCCAGCCCTCCAGCCCTCCAGCCCTCCAGCCCTCCAGCCCTCCAGCCCTCCAGCCCTCCAGCCCTCCAGCCCTCCAGCCCTCCAGCCCTCCAGCCCTCCAGCCCTCCAGCCCTCCAGCCCTCCAGCCCTCCAGCCAGGGCTGCCCTGCTGGAAGGCTGCCCTGCGGAGGGCTGGAGGGCTGGAGGGCTGGAGGGCTGGAGGGCTGGAGGGCTGGAGGGCTGGAGGGCTGGAGGGCTGGAGGGCTGGAGGGCTGGAGGGCTGGAGGGCTGGAGGGCTGGAGGGCTGGAGGGCTGGAGGCTGGAGGGCTGGAGGCTGGAGGGCTGGAGGGCTGCTGGAGGGCTGGAGGGCTGGGCTGGAGGGCTGGAGGGCTGGAGGGCTGGAGGGCTGGAGGGCTGCTGGAGGGCTGGAGGGCTGGAGGGCTGGAAGAGGGCTTAATCCTGCAGGGCTTAATCCTGGAGGGCTGGAGGGCTGGAGGGCTGGAGGGCTGGAGGGCTGGAGGGCTGGAGCTGGAGGGCTGGAGGGCTGCTGGAGGGCTGGAGGGCTGGAGGGCTTAATCCTGGAGGGCTGGAGGGCTGGAGGGCTGGAGGGCTGGAGCCTTGCAAAAAGGCCATTCAATTTGTAATTACGTTTGGGTTGCGATTCAGACTCTGAATATAATTATTTTTCTCAATTCGAGAGTCTAATTTCTTGCTTCATAAAATTTCTTAACACAAAGTTCCACCGTAGCTTTCTGACCAGTATCTGACCTTGTCATTGCTCGTCGTCCAAAGAACCGGCAACTGCGCATTGCAGTAGCATAGCAGGACATGATACGGTGTGTCCGAAAGCACGTACAACAACAAGGTTAGACTAGAGTTTTTTCCTTTCGCAGCACGCTATTTTGGTCATGGATCTCACTACAAGGACTTGAACATGATCACGGCATTACCGGTCGACAATACTAAGAATTCTCAGGGTCGCGGTGCTCATAGTTGTAAATAAGACAAGAATGGACCAGGGCGGCACAGAGCGGTGTTGAGCCGCGATCGAGCCCAAAAAGATAGATGACTTGAGGTCTTTGTAAGGACTTTGCAAAGTCTTGTTGGAGCCCAGGCCTGCTGGGCGACCTCCAGGACCAGATGACACGCTTAGACAGCGAAGTTGGTATCCTCCACGAGCTGAGACACGCGTCTCAGCGGCATCTAACTACATCTCCGACGCCTTGGATGCATGTTCTTGCCCGTATTGGTTGCCGTCGTTGCCGCGTTGATTCATGCAAGGGGCCGAAGCAACTTTATGTGAGGAAAGGGGCATTCTTTGGCTAAACGCAGATGGGTGGTTGACGCCCTTCCCAAGCGGCGTGGAGCACCAAAACGTGCGAACACCAGAAAGCTAGAATCAGACCTCAGGAGAGGATTGTCAATCTCCAAGGGTTCCACAAGTTCCTTGGCAGTATTGCGGCGCGCAGCTGCGCTGGTGCTCAAGAGTCATCGACCCGGTTAGGGTTACCGGATGTTTCCGGGCTTGTGGCCTGAAAGGGTTTGGGAATTCTGTCTTCTCAGGCCTGCTTCCGAAGTGATTCCGACCATGTTACCTGGACTTCAGCTTGTAGAGCCCGTGTGGACTCAAGGACAGACAACTGGTATTTCCTCGTGATGGAGTTAGTTGGCGGAGGAGCACTGGAGATTGAGGTGGTTGTGAGTTCATGGTGCGCACGGCCAGTACAGCCTCACACGGAAGATAGATGTAGCGCGAAACCAAACCTGCCACAGCTCTCTCTGATGTTCTTCATAAGCCTTGCGGAACCTTGCCCTTGCCCTTTCAAGAACCGCCGCAATACGGCTTACAATTGCTCTTCGGGCAGATCCTGCATGAAATGGGAACTTGTAGAGAAGCTGTGTCTCCAAGCTGGAAGCTGCATGAACTTTTTTTGCCTATGTACCGCTGTTGAAGTGTTGTGGTCGTCGCTGTTGCTGCTGCCGTTGATCGTCAATTGTGTAGGGGTCATCATCGTTGTGTTCTCACGAATCTTTTGCTTGGTTTGTCCTGATGGCCTGACGGCTTCTCAGCCCAGAGACCGTCAGCGCCCTTCGGTGCCAGGAGAGCTCTTCGATTTGATCGTCCGCAACAAATCGCTCAGTGAGTCTGAAGCGAGTCACAAGGCTGCAGAACCGGCACGGAGCGGTAGCAACAACATGCAACAACAGTTCCTCAACAGTCAGCAACTGAACACAATATTCAGGACTTGCACTAGCTCCTCACACAATAACGGGTAATGATGACCACAACCGCTTCGAAAAACGGAGGCCTTCAAGCGGCTTGCTGCATTCCGAACGCCTGAGCACACTGCTGGTTTGCCCACGCACAGTTGTAAGTGAGCCTTGGGGTACCGGGTACAACCTACCGGCTACAACCTACTGGGACCGAAGTTCCCTTCTGCGTGCGGCCGCAATCGCAGGCTCCCATGTAAAGTACCTGTGAGCCTCTGAAAGAAGCATCCAAGGACATATCTTTCTACAGCTGCTGGAAGGCGTTGGCTACATGCACGCACGAGGCCGAGGGGTCAAGTCAGTTTATCATTGGGTTTTTGGTAGAGAGAGAGGGGTTCTGTAGATCCTCTTCTTCTCAGGACTCTCATTCTCTCTCTCTCTCTCCTCTCTCTTTCTGTGTCTGTTCCTTGTTCTTCTCTCTTTCTTTGTGCAAGTCCCTCTTAGGGGTGCTGCACCGGGACCTGAAGCCGGAGAACATCCTTGTGGCTGGGTCCAGGCACGAGGAGGAGAGAGGTCATTTTGTTCTCACACCGCCCTCAAAGTAGCCGTTAGTGTCGAACTGAGACTCGTTCAACCTCTTTTACAATGTGGGGGCACCGCTCTGAGAGGGGGCTTCTGCAAGAGGGGCCAAAAGTTGATGTTTTTTTGGGTCTTCAGAGCTTCAACAGACTTTTAGCCGAAGCCACTTCCCAGTTTGCCCCAGGCCGAAGGCATTTCTTCAATTGAACCCGACACTAAACCCTAAACCCATGCAAGTTGTAGAGAGAAGGCCAGGCCTTCTCTGCCACTTTGCATCCACAGCCGTGTCTATCTACTTGGCGCCGAAGCCGCCACCAGCTGCACCACTGCCTTTCTCCCCGGAGTAGCTGAAGTTACATGATGGCAAAGACGATGCACGGAGGCCTGCTGAGCCGCCAGCTTCGGGGCAGCTGTATGACGTGAAAATTGCAGACTTCGGGCTCTCCAAGGCTATTGGGTCATCTTGTGACAGCTGTTGAAGCATTGACAATTATTGGGCACCGCAGTTCGTCACGATTCGCAGGTGGGAGAAAGGTGACAGCACAGCCGCCTGTGCTCTTTAGTTTGAGCCATGTCGAGTCATGGTGAAGCTGGGTTGATCTCAATACGGCCCCAGTTGTGAGCAGCAATGGCACAGCGAACTCTAAGCTACAGTTGCAACAGTGTTTTGAAACGCTCGCATGTCTTTTGCGTAAAGCTAGGCGTGTCTCAGACTCAGCTAGATTGCAAGAGCTACTCATGCATCCTCCGCGACATAAACGTATACGTCGCAAAGCGTCCCAACAACCTGTACCTGAGGGACACCTCGAGCTAAACTCGTGCGAAGGCCATCGGTGGCGGCGCCTCTTTAGCGAGGACGCGTGTGGGAACGCCTCAGTACTGGGCCCCGGAGGCCTACTTCCGCTTGTTGTGTCCTGGGATTCATTACTCTTAAGATTCAGTACTCGGAGTCGCTTGCCTTAGATCCTTGCAGCCATAGAGTTGGATGAAGATGCTCCTTCAAGATTTACCCCTGTCTTTCCTCACCCTGTTGCCCCAAGGTCGGTTCCCCCGCCCAAGGCATCCCCCCTCCGCCCCTGTGGTCGGCCCCTGTGGTGGTCCGCGTGGTTGTGGTTTGCCCCTGTAGTTGTGGTCTGCCCCTGTGGTTGGGGTGGTGGGTGGGTGGGGGGTTTAGGTTGTAGGGTTTCAGGGTTTAGAGCTCAGGGTTCAGGGGTTTTGGGGCTTATGGGTTTCAGGATTTTAGGGCTGAAGGTTTTCAAGGTTTTGCGGGTTTGCATAGGTTTTTGAGGGGTGTTAAATAGTTTTAAATTGTTTTCAGGGTTAAGGGTTTGGGGTTGCAAGTTTTAGGGTTTAGGGTTTTTGGGTTCTTGGGTTTCGGGCTTAGGGTGCTACCGTACTGTTCAGGGCTTAGGGTTTGGGGTTTGCGTGAGGGTTTCGGGTTTAGGTGGGGAGGGGAGTTGGGGGGGATACACTGAAAACTACTGACATGGCGACGCGGAACCATCTCTAGGCCCCAAACCCACAATCCTCGAAGGTCCTGGACGTGCAGAAGCGGGGTGGTGGCTCGGACGATTGGAGGGTTGAGGGTGTTTGATGTGTTTCGATGATGCGTTGGCATATTCCAGAGTTTAGGGTTCCGGGTTTAGCAAGCATTGAGCGTGCACTTGCTGTCCACAATCCATGTAACCTCAGCGCTGTTCCAGACCTCAAAACCCGAGAGTGGCTCTAAGAGTAGGTCACTAGGGCACTACGGGGTGTGGCTAGGGGAAAAGCAGAGAATCGCAGCAATGCCCCCAGAGGTTCCTACGACCAAGCGGCGGACTTTTGGGGCCTGGGTGCGGTGCTCTTCGCCCCTCGGAGTCCACACGGGGGCACACGTTTCTTTTTTTGGGCGCTCTTTCTCTTTTATTAATTCGCGTGAATGGGTTCCACATGGTTCCCTTGCAAGTATTTGCAAGTCCTTGTCAAATTCAGACAAGCCCCAGGCCGGCAACATGCAAACTGAAGCGAAGTCCGCACCAAGATGCCAAGGTGATGCTTTGTGGCAGGTATCCTTTTGACGGCCAGAAGCAAGCGCTGGATGACCAAATCCGAACTGCCTCATACAGCATGACAGGCGGAGCCTTTTTTGGTACATGCTGCAGTGCTGGGGGATGCAAAGTGGTGTGTGGCAATGCGTGACCTCGAGCTAAGCCTTGGGGACAGTCAAGTACCGTATGGAGAGTTACTTTAGACTTCAACTTTTCGGGAAGGCTCGCGGTGGCGGAACATCTCCGAAGCTGGCAAGAGCCTCGTGCGTGGACTTCTACGGGTGAACCCGGTGGACAGGCATGGGGCGAGCTACCTTGGGGAAAACTAGCAGGTACTACTAGTACTGTAAGTGTGCGACAAGTGTTCTGAATTGAGGGTTGAATGGTGCAAAATGCAGCCACCGGACAGGCTCTCTTTGGATGATTGCCTTAGCCATCCGTGGGTCACTGGCGAACCCATGCCACTGCCTCGACGGCTGCCCCTCACACCTGCTGCCGCTGGGCTTCTTTAAAGTGTCTTCATATCGGGGTTTTGAAACATCCAAAGTGCCAAGCATCTGCTTAAGCATCTGCTGAAGCCATTTTCTCCTTACACCTTGCAGCCAAAGGTGCCTGCTTCGGGCAAGAAGTGCCTAGCCGCTTGGATTGGATTTTGGTTGCGGTACGCCCGGTGCACTCGTAGGAATAGATGTGTGTGTGTGGGCTTCAGGGGCTTCAGGGGCTTCACTCAAGCACCTGATTTTGTGTTGCTTTTGCTCTTGTGTGGATTGCTATCATCTGGTAGCGCTTAGCAAAACCTGTGCACCTTTGTGCATGGGTGAGAGTGGTACTCGGCTGGAACCCTATCGGTCTCGCATCGAGCTTGTACACCCTGGCAGGAACTGGCACAACAAGCGGACCTCGCACAGCAGAAGATGCTCCGACGGGTTTAGCCGCATACAGCCCAGCGGGCTGCGGGTTCAGGCTTTTTCTGCTTGAGCAAACGTGTTCACTCCCAACAACTACGTACCAGTTGCTGTCCGGAACCCTGTTTTCCAGTTCATTCTCGGGAGCTGCTCTTTTGAATGCTTTAGTGCAATTTTCAAGTTTTGGATTTTTAGACCTCGTCTTGCGTTCACCATTCAACAGTCCTTGCAGTAAGTGCGTAGTTACCACCAGACAAAAGCTCTAGACTTGGAGATGAAGACACAAGACTCATGTGTTTTTAGTTCCAGCTGCAGACTCATGAAAAGACGAGTGTCATCCAGACCAGGCGCCAACAGGGTCTCACGGTGTGACAGGGAGCACGGAGAGAATCCTAAAGATTACAGAATCCTGGAAACTAAGGGGTTAACAAGTTGTGGGTTTGGTACGAGTTGAATACTGTTGTTACTGCATTGCATTGACTCATGCTCGCATTGGCAAGCGCGGGAAGTATGTGCATAAATGCAGGTAGCAAACGATCCTGGTTCGTTTCGTTTGCTTCTGTAGTTCCCTGGACGGGCAAGCCAGATATAGAGACAGGGATAGGCCGATATGCCCTGAGATGTGCATGTCCAAACCTCTCCGCCGCAAGGATGGCTGTCATCGCCGAGTCTCCTTCAGGGGACGACGGCAGGAGTGGCCCAGAGGACCGGTTTAGGGTATTCATGCGTTTTACATAGCCTGGATAGCTGGGCTTTTGTGTTGGCCGGTGTTGGTTTGCAAGACCTGAGGCTCTACGAAGGCTGAAGACTTTTACGGCTGATTTTCCAGGTTCAGAGCCGTGTGCAAGGTGGGAAGTCCTCGGCTTGGGGTGCCTATCAGGTCCCGAACAGTTTGCCAACGAGGCGGGGAGGTGGCACCCTCGAAGTTCAAAACCTCCTTTAAAACACCTTACGAGACGGTTTTTTTCTTCTTAGATTACCAGGCCCCCCGAAGTCCCGAAAAAGAAGCCCCAAAGCAGGACATCCGGAACTCTACCAGCTTCGAGTCAGACCGGGTGGCAGAGCACTGTGGCTGCGATTCCTCAAACTCCCCACTTCAAAGGGGAGGCTTGTTGGGCTTCAGGGTTCATATGCGAGTTTGACGGTTCAGGGGCCGATGTTTGAGTGTTTTGGAGGCCATAGGCCCTCGTAAACTTTGCTTTAGTGCCGGAGCTTCGCTAGCTTCGCTAGCCTCGCTAGCTTCGCTTCCTTTCTTGAATTGCAGCCCCAAATCTACAGGCGCGCCCCATCCACGAGCTGCTGCAGCGTGTCAGACTCGGACGCCCGGTCGAAAGTGCAGTGTGCAGCAAAAAATGAGCAATCATGTTTACCCGTTGGTTCTGTTGAATGGATGACTCCCAGCAAGAACGGAGCTGAGAGGGCATGACACTGTTCACAACACCGATGAGACACAGGATCTGGGGAAGAGCTGCAGCCGCGTCGCACCTTGGACGCTCTCAGCCAACTCTGTTTGAGATTCCGTCGCTCAGGCGGTTCAGGTGGTTCAGGGGTTTGGGAGAGTTGCCTGAAGTTGTCTCGAGCGGGTTTGAAATTGTTGGCCTGTGGTCGAGTTTGGGTCCGAGAATCGGATCCTGCTGCGGTATCCTAGCTCGCGCCTTCAAGCCCAATCGCGGAACCGATTGCAGGCAAGTACGCCCAGCAGCCCAGATGAGGAGGCGCAAAGTTTGCAGGCGGGGGAGGGGGAGGGAGGGGGAGGGAGGGAGTTCAAGGGGGAAGCGCAGGTCGTTCGAAGCTGGAGTCAACACGAAAGGTGTTTACAGTAGAATGCTGCCCCGCCAAGCTTGAGCCTCGCGTCTCAAGTCGATTTCAACAGCGGCTCTCTTTTGTCGATGGCAAGCGGACATAGCGGACCTTCGCTGAAGGTCGCCTCCTTCATGGCAGGCGCGTTACGGGTTCAGGATGCATCAAGGCATCAAGTTGTACAAAGTAGCAAACTTCGGCTGCCTCTGTAGCCTTAGGAAGTGAGAAACGTGCGATTGTGACACACGCCGGGTCAAGCATAGCATCATGAGGAGTCATCAAGCCGCCAGGCAAGAACCTTCGTTTTGGTCGCTGGTATTGGCTTCTCATTGTGTGCCTAGGCTTCTGCTGGCTTTTGTTTCAGGTTGGGCATGGTTGGGCCCCGAATGAAGTGCTGGTCCAGCGAGATCTTGCAATGTTAGGTAGCGTGGGGCAATCTTGCCGCGCCGTTAAAGCCGCATCGCCAAGACAACTGGAGTTTCAGGAGCCTTTGAACTTGCAGTCCCAAATCCCTTGCTGGGCCGAGAATCCTGGGTCTGGCACTTTGGCGGTGCCGCTTACGACGTGAGCCGCTGGTGCCTGGCGAGGCCTGTGTACGGGTCAGGGGAGAAGGGGGGGGGGCAGAAGTGGGGAAGGGAGAAAGGCGGGAAGGAACATTGTGCCCAAGTGTTGTCAGGCTTTATGCGGTTAAGGGACGACGACCTGGATGACGAACCCTTGAACGTAAGTGCAACGTGAGTGAGGAAGCGCAGTTTCTTGCAGTGGCAGCCTACATGCCCCCAAGACAGTCTGTGCCCTCTAAGCGCAGCCCTCGCATCCTGCCCAGCTGCCCACAATGAGCTTGGACAAGCAATCGGCCGGCTACTCCTCGCCACTGTGCTGCAAAGACTTTGCCCCTGACATCCCCTGACCTGGCCGCCCTACATCCCAACGTCCAAGCCCTTCCTAATCTTGTTTGGTTCCTGCGTGGGGCCGAGGCACAAAGTGCCTGCTGAGTCCACTGACATGTGAAGTAGGACTAAGTAGGGTTCAGCCCTGGTGGTTTGGTTTAAGTAACAGCAACACTTCCTTTTTTACCCCTCAACACCATTCCGACTTTCAGCGACATGATGCTGAGGTTCTTCACCGACACGCATTCGTATGTGTTTCGTTGCATGTCACATGTGAGGAGATAGATTTCTGCTTCAGGCATGGCTTGGAAGACGTCGGTCGAAGACTTTTCTAGGGGTCTGCTGAGATGGCACGCGCAAGGAATCTCAGCGGGGATGGAGATGAGAAGAGCATGCTGGCGGCGCTTGACATGCAGACGCCCTTGCACCTAAGCTGCATCGAGTCGCTTGTACAAAACCCATGTAGTCCCCTCCCCAAACATCCCAAGACCACCTTCCAGCGCCAGCGCCTGCACTTCTCAGCCCAGGTATTACTTGGGTGGCATGCATCGAGGTGCTGCCGATTCTTGGCATGTTCAGTTCGCGTTTCGAGCTTCCTGCGGCATTCCGGGCAGCCAACCTCAGAAGCCCAAGGTCGTCAGAGGTTATCACCGCTATTGCCCCGCGAACTCGCCCTCCAAACCCCGCCACAACCGAGGAAACCTTGCTGCTGGAAGCGTCACCAGAGTCGTACAAACAGAGCCCTGGTGGGGGAAGAAGTCCCTATTTTCAACCCTCTCCAAAGCCCCAGAATTCTGGCGACCCCGACCTGATGCTTCAATGCATCCCCGGCATCCCCCAATGCTCCTTGACCCCATACCACAGAACTAGCTGTACCCAACCGGTGAGGCTTTTCAGCTTGAATCCTAAATCCTGAAGCCTCGATGCCAAGGAAGAGCATCTTCCAACTCATTGAGATGCTGCGTAGCCAGGTGGCCATCGCAGGCGACCTCGCTCTCTCGAGAGTGCCTTCGTAGCTCGTCGCCCATGTCCTGAGGAGGAATGGATCGACATAGCATGTGTTGGGAGCAGACCCAAAAGCAGAGTGAAGCGCTCTTGTCGTGGTCCCTCCGGGTAGGCTCCTTGCAGATGGCGAACCTTGCTGTCCGCCATGTGGATGGAGAGCTCGCGGAGGCGACGCGCAATGCATACGAGCAGGCGGGATGTCAACAAGCTTCATCAAAGCTACAGGCCACCTTTCTGAGATTCTGCGCAGAAGCTTGAAATCAAAAAGCGATATAGACATTGAAGCAAACTTCTCGTTAGGATTGGGAGCAGGACATGCTTGGACATGTTAGGACTGTGCCTACATTGCTCACATGGTGGCCCGTGGTGGAAGGCGCGGGACCTTTTCAAGAAAGCCGCAGACGTGGTTTCACGCTATGCCGACGTGGCAAAGCAGGCGAGGAGGGGAAAAGGCGTTTTGGAGCTCGAAATCAGGAGTGCGGACGGTTCAAGTCGGGTCACCCCCTTGGGACGCTGTTTGAGAAGACCCGCGAACTTAAATCCCAGAGACATCAAGAGAGAGAGAGATGCGAAGAGAAGAGTGGGGCCCCGGAGCTGAAGCCACGGGTAAACTGCAGGGCCCCCCACCATATGGTGCAGAGGCAAGCATAGGCTTGCTTGCTCCTTAGACCGAAGCTCAAAAGAATGAGAGCGAGAAAGGTGAGCGAGCATGTGTTGCCCGACCTCCAGCTGGCCGTCGAAGAGCAGGTGCCGGGCTGGAGAAGGGCTTCTGCAGGTTTGAACTCTGCCCCTCAGTCCGTTGAGTGGAGAGGAGCCTGCCATGGCGGCCGACATGCTTGAGATGGTCAAGGACTGGGTGGCTGCCGCCTGGATCAGCTGTTGAAAGCAGCGACATGCATTGACTTGTGATGGGGGGTACAACGTGCGATGGGGAGGCACAGCCTATGCTCGCATGCCACTGAACCTTGAATCATGACAGAATTCCAGAGGCACTACGCCAAAGTGAAAGCCTCGCTCCAGAACCGGTAGCAATGCCAGTCACAAGACAAGGCCATGAAGAAGGACAGCGACCTCATCCGAAGCAACTATGGCGAGCTTCAGTCGGCGATTGCGACGCTGCTCAGCAACATGTAGACGACCACTACCCTTACGAGATGGCACAGCGAGACGATAGCAAAAGACCCTCAGGCAGACTATGGCAGATTTCTGTACTCCTATGATGCAGGACCCCAACACAGCCTGTGACAGCCCTGTAAGCCGAGGCTGGTGGACCGGACCTCGCGCAGCAAGCAAGCCGCAGACGTCAAGCTGGCGGCAGCGGTGGCCACTGCCGAGGAGACGGTTCTTGTAGCGTCGTAGCGCTACGTGTTCTGTTGCTTGGCAAAGCTGCAGGTCAAAGCCAGTGGCTCTACGTGCCATGTGTACTACATGGCCCTGTATGCCTACACGGGTTAACCCGCCCAGCTCCATAGCCTCCACGTGTCGAGGAGGCCAAGCTTGCCAAAGCCATGCAGAACCAAACTGACGGCCCAGGCACAGCGCATGCAGTTTGTAGTGCGCAGGCCGTAAACACAGACAGCACGAACAGCACAGATCAAGAATGATGAAGATAGAAGGTGCTTGCAGGTGCTTGCACTTTGACCGATCGCAATCAGCCAGACCTGTGTGAGTCGTGTTCGCAGTCAGCGCAGCGGATCCGAGCGCCGCGAGCTGCGGGTTTCCGGATGCCGAGGAGATGGGGAAGCCTTACCAGGTGCCTGCATATCCTGAATTGCCTAGAGTCCTAGAGGTTGACGGGGTTTTGGACAGACCTGGTGCTGTCAGCATGCCGTCAGCCCTGGCCACCAGTCCATTTGGTGAGTTGGCTTCTGCGCTGAGTCGCATTCATCCTTGGATCTACGCAGTTGCAGGTGGCCACACGTACCAGCCCGGACATGTCTCCTCCAGTGAAGGCGCATGTTGGCTCAGCGGCAGTTGCGACGCTTTGAGGGATCCAGGTAGGAAGTGAAGTTTGTGTACCGCCATGTTCTTGCAAGAGCCAGATCGTGTTGCGATTCGGGTTTCATGACTCTCAAATAAAGCCGGGCTGTCTGGGGACCTGAGCTCGGACAGTTCAACGTTAGTTTAATGCCATCTGGGCACAAACTCCTTGCAGGTGGACTCGTTCATAGAGGTCACCGATGAGTCGATACACTTGCCACCAACTGAGCCTCGGCAATATGCATGGGTCTGACCTCTGAACTTTCCTGATCCCAGTCCTTCAAGGGTTTTTGAGCGAGAGTCTCGCGAAACACGATGCATGCCCGGGAAAACGGCATTGGAAACTGTGGAAACCTGGTTGAACTCCTTGCGCCTTGAAGTATGAAAGTCCAATCTCCATCCTGAGGTGGCACCGCCTCAGCTGACGAGCAGCGACTACATGGCTTTGGTGGATCGGCCCAAATTTGCTAAGAGAACGGAAGCACCCGACTTCCATTCTGGTCTCGCACTGTTCTTGCTCAACATATTTCTGAGTATTTCCGAGTTACTTGGCTCGTTGATGGTTGCAGGGCCCTTGGTCTGAATGCCCATGTAGATCTTCAATCCTCAAAGCCCTTTAAGCATCGGCACAGGTGCCATACAAAGGGAGCCACCTCTTCCGTACACCAGAAGACGCGGAGGCTCGCAGGATGTGTAGACACGTGCATCTAATGTGTGATAGGAACGCAGGGTATACAACTTCCCTCCACAAGGCCTGGTGGTAGCTGTGCCAAGACACACGATGTCAGTGCAAAGACGTCAGGGCGCGGCTGGACACGCAGCTGACTCGTCCAAGAGCTTGCTCAAGGCCGGTTTCTTCGGGGGTCTACACCAACGTTTACGAGGTTGGTTGAGTTAAGAGATGGTAAAAGGGCTCTGGAAGACCACCTCTCTACTTCATCAGGGAGTGAAGCCTGCGTATGCGGTTATTGTGTCATACGTCTGTTTCGCCATCGAGCGGAGGCCCAAAGCATCCCAAGGCTATCCCAAAGCTGTGTGTTGTGAGGGCAGCTCGGTCGGGTAATGTTGGGTACCTGTCACTTGCAGACGACTTGGGATGTCGCAAAGGCTGCTTTTCTCCTAGCACTGAGCACTCTGGGTGTGTAGATATGCTTAGCATTGCTTCGCCAAGTGCAGTCGTACAGGAGAGTCGTTATTGGGTCGGGAGGTCCTGCTCGGAAGGAGATGGGTAAACATTAGTCCGGGCCCATGGGACACTTTCGATCGTGCGAGACCGATTGGTTGCCATTTTGGCAAGAGGAAGATCGTCTGCTTGTAGGGCAGGTGTGTGCAACGCCGTCGACGGACAGCCTTCATCCCGATGTAGGACCGTCGCGAACAGGAAAGCCGATAAGCTGTACGGTTCTCAAAGGACACCAATTCGACATTTTTTGCAGCTGCAGTACACTCATCTGACTCATCTGAATCCTGTCAGCTCGGCCATCACGCAAGCCTGCTGGAGGCTTTGCACGAACTTCGGCGGGTGGACTCTATTCTGGAGGGCTGATGCCTGGCTGGACACGGGCATCACACATACACCACAGAAGCAGTGGGTTGCAGACGTAGCGTGCGTAGATCTTTCTCAGTCTCTCGCTTGTAGCTGGCTTCGGAGCATTGTTCTTGTAGACGGTGCTGGTGTGGGACTTGAAGTCTTAAAATTCTGGCCGGTGCATGCTGCAACAAAATGCAGCCACCCGAAGCTACATGCCGAGCTGAGGCTTCGTCTTCTGGGCCGGCATGGATCGTGCAGCCGGAATCTGATTTTTTCCGAATGAACCTCGAGCCGGCAGGACATGATGCGAACGCCCCCGCAAGCCCAGGCACCCAAGGCGGATGCTGGCCATGATGCATTGAGGAACCCAAAGCTTAGGTCCACAAGCTGGGACAGATGAAGCAGCACGCGGAGCGTCTTGTGCAGCTCGTCTGTGCAACCGCATTCAGTTTCACGCTCCCGGCTAAGCAAGCTCATGCTCTGGCATGATGCCCATATTGAACGAGGATCAGTGAACAAATCAGAAGCCAGCTTGCGAATTAAAGCTACGAATCAGCAACTACGAATCAGAAACCAGCCGCGTAATCAGAAACTACGAATCTGAAATTAGAGCGAATCAGAAGCTGGCAGCATCAGAGACCAGCGCGAATCAGAATCTGCGCATCAGAAGCTGCGGTGGGGTGGGCGGGGGTTATTCGTGTCCGCAAAGCCAGAGCATCAGAAACGCGGTCCCGTTGCTCGGTTCCGAGTCAGCCGCCTCCTGGCGATTTTCATGTCCTGATATGTCCTGGTTTCCGATTCAGCCGTTCTGGTTTCCGATTCTTCCGTCGACCACAGGGGGCCTTATAGTGGAGTGCGGCGCAACCCCCCTCAAAGCCTAGAGCTCCTGAACCAGACTGAGGCAGGCCCCTTGATAGCCCCGATCACCGCCTTTCCACGTCCCAAGCCCAGGAATTTCGCCACGAGCACTCCCAAACTCCGACAGCGCTTTGATCAGCGAATGACAGAGATGCTTGGTCTGCATTGTGGAACTGTGAAACTACTGTGGAATGTGGAATCCAGGGATTCAGGAGGTTCTTTTCTGACTCAGAGATGTGATAGTGCGCCACTGCGGCCTGCGGGAACATAAGCCAGCCCCCCCCCCCCCTCCCCCCCTCCCTCTCTTGTTCAAGGGCCCCCCCCCCCCCCCCCCGCCCCGCCCCGCCCCCCGCCCCCGCCTTGGTCAATTCCCCCTTTTAACAATTTTTAATAAGATTTCGATTTACTTTAATAGAAATTAACAAATACAAAATGTGGAATTTTATTTAATAGGGAGCAAGGGTTTCTAGCTTCTATTAGTGGCATTTCTATTTCTTTCAATAAAAAGTATTCTTAATAGGGTTTCACTTGATTTTAGTTAAAGGTTTAATAGGACTTCTTTTGATTCTAATCGGGTTAGAATTTTTGTTACTTTTGAAAGATTTCTAAGAATATGAATGAGGTTTTTTTTATTCCTTCTAATAAGATTTGTATTACGTTTAACGGGATTCGTATTAAGATAATAGAAATCCTTTTCGAATTAAGTTCCACTCCTATTACAATTAATTGAACTGCTATTAAAATTTGTAGAAGTCCGATTTGACAAACTACTTCCAACCCCATTAAAATTGAATTGAAATGCTACGAAAAAAGTTGGCAAACAGAAATCTTGTTAAATTAATAAAATTTCCTCTTGAAATTAAACGGAGTCCGATGAAAAAAACAATACAAATCCTACCAAAAATGGCAGAGGAAATGTGGAATTTTGGCATGGGGCCCCCCCCCCCCCCCACCCCCCCTTTTCTTTGTGGGGGGGGGGGGGGGAGGAGGAGGGGGAGGGGGGTTTGTTGGGGGGGGGGGTGGGGAGGGGGGGGGGGGGGGGGGAGGGGGGGGGGTACCTTGAATATCCGCGGGCCTCTTTTTTATGCACTCTCAGAGATGTAGGGATTAAAGTCTTCGCCGGGTGTGAGCCCTGCTGCGTCGCCCCGGCGACACATGTCTTCGGATTTTTTTTGCTTCGTCGCCAAACCCCTGGCAGGTATGGCAAGAACTGGTCTGACCTTGAAAAACTGTGCCGGGAGTACAACTCAAAGCATCACGACGCTGGGCTGCACTAGGCTGCTAGGCACTGCCTCTCCACCCCATCCCAGCCCAGCACCACAAAGACCGGCCAGCAGGATTTTGGAGGACATTCTTGACCGAACTGATCTGGTTTCATTCAGGGGCTGCAACGCCTGGCGGGACGTAGTTTTTCCGAGCCAGGAAGTCCGTGCACAGATGTGGATTGGGCTGTTGAGGGTTCGGAAGATGTACTGAATTTGCCTGCAAATACATCTGAGACATACGTCTTTGGAAAGCTTTAGGCACTGTGGGGGGGCCTTGAATGCTTCCAAGCCTTTCGCTCGTGCCAGGAGGAGAACGCGAAGATGCGAGAAGTCGTTCGCGAGACTTTTCTGACATAAAGAGCCCTAAAGCCGCAAAACTCTGCCTGGTCGCTGTGCTTCCTACTTATTAAGGTCCTATTGAGGTTGTGTAGCGACGAAAGAGGTTAATGATATTTCGTGACTCGGCACATGAAAGGCTTAAAAGTTTCATGGATTTCCTA